ATATAACATCATATACACGACCGGGAAGCGAGCTATACAAATTGTGCAGTATTTGCAGTGAAATGGTTGTCCAGGCTATTTTAATTGCCTTAACTAAAGTTGTTTTGCAAGAAAATTACCTGCCTCCTTCATATATCTTGCGCGATAGCAACCCCATACGATTTCGATTATATTAAGGTCAGGTGAATATGGGGGCCATTCAAGTAAGTCCACATTTTGAGCCTTAATCCACTCTTTTACCACCCTAGCTGTATGATGAGAGCGTTATCTTGCTGGTAAGACCATTTGATAAAGTGAAAAGTATTTGAATAATCAGGAAACGTAGCCTTTATGATAGATTTGTAGGATTCCGCGCTCATTTTAGAAGTAACAAATTAGAGGTCGCAAGTGCCAAAGACTGATACCGACTCCCACACCATTACCCCACCCTCACAGCTATGACAACGGCTAAGGAAATGCTCTTCCTTTCGAAGATCGTGATAATAATAGTTGTAGCTATTGATTTACGCTTCTAAATTAAATTGATTTTGGTGTGGGGGTCGGTATCAGTCTTTGGCACTTGCGACCTCTAATTTGTTACTTCTAAAATGAGCGCGGAATCCTACAAATCTATCATAAAGGCTACGTTTCCTGATTATTCAAATACTTTTCACTTTATCAAATGGTCTTACCAGCAAGATAACGCTCTCATCATACAGCTAGGGTGGTAAAAGAGTGGATTAAGGCTCAAAATGTGGACTTACTTGAATGGCCCCCATATTCACCTGACCTTAATATAATCGAAATCGTATGGGGTTGCTATCGCGCAAGATATATGAAGGAGGCAGGTAATTTTCTTGCAAAACAACTTTAGTTAAGGCAATTAAAATAGCCTGGACAACCATTTCACTGCAAATACTGCACAATTTGTATAGCTCGCTTCCCGGTCGTGTATATGATGTTATATCGGACAACGAAGGGTTCACTTTTTATTAAAATTAGTAAAATGTACTCTAAAAATGTTCATAAGTATCAGCCAAGTTCAAAAAATATGAAAATTATCCTTAGTTACTTAAATAATTTTAATTGTTTTAGGTTGAACCTATTCAGATGACCCAAAAAAAAACCATGAATTTTGTTAACCTTTCAGAAGAAAAATTAAATAAGGAATAAATAATATGTTTTTGAAAAACCTTCTTCACCATTTTATTATAAAATGATTCAAGAGTTAAAGAAAAAAAATTTTGGAAATCGGTACACTGGTTTAGAAATTATAGACAAATTACTTCCTCTGAGAGCATGAACCTATTCAGTTGAGCGGCAGTGTATATAAAAAAATGAAAGTCTGGCCGCTTGAAGGGTAGAAATGTGGTTTAATTTCGGATAAAATATAACGTGACGAAATCGAGTTTTATATTTTCAGATGGGAGTAAAGCAAAGCCTAAGCGCTTCACGCTTAAGTCATGCAAATTATTTTTAGGTTCCTATCTAAATTTTTGTTTTTTTTACGATCAGATAGGTAGGAGTTGGAGCGCGGCCGCGCGGGGCCCCCAATGCGCGGGGCCCGTAGCAGTTGCTACTTCTGCTATATGGCTAATCCGGCACTGACTGCGTGCAATAACTACACAACTTTTGGGAAAGTTTCAGCAAGATAGCTTCAAAACTGAGAGACTAGTTTACATGGAAACAGACAGACGGACAGACTGACCGACGGACAGACGGACAGACGGACCGACGGACAGACGTACAGACGGATTTCGATTCAGATCGTGATGCTGATCAAGAATATATATCCTTTATAGGGTCTGAGGTGCCTCCTTCACTGCGTTGCAAACTTCTGACTGAAATTATAATACCCTTTGCTCTGCAAGGGTATAAAAAGAGTATGTCGAAATTGATCACCGGGAACGGAACTAAACCAACTGTTAGGTTCAGTATGGTAGATGTATAAGACCAACATATATTGACGATCAAAAGACGATGTTTTCGAAACCTCTATGAAAGTAAAACTAGTTAACCACAAAAAGGATTTGCAAAAAAGTAACCTTATTACCTATTTTCAAATGTTCTACATTGCACAAACATTTCTTTGAATCTATTTATTTATTTTCTATTTCTATTTATTATATTTGGCTATAAAACCCATTTTTTTTTTAACTAAAAATTTATTAAAGCAACATTGTCCACTTTGATTGGCAATGCGTAAGGTTTGCATTGGTTTATAATTAAATGTATTGCATGTTGTAATTCCAAATGATGAGACCTATGTTCCGAAAGACTCTTGGGGGCTCCCAAGCGTAAAAAGCTTAAAAAAGGCGATGAACTCAAGCAAAATATTTGCTACTGCAACCATATTTTAACAAATTTCGCCTTCATATTCTCCTTGCATATGTGTAATATGTATCTCTGGAAGCGGGGTCTTTTCATCAAGTGTCAGCCACTTTTACATTTATTTCGACCTATTAAGGTAAACGTCTCCTTTGCTTTGTTTTTATGTCCTTGCAGAGCAAAAGGGTATTATAATTTCAGTCAGAAGTTTGCAACGCAGTGAAGGAGACACCTCAGACCCCATCACGTATTTAAATTCTTCATCAGCATAACGATTTGAGTCGAAAAACATCTGTACGTCTGTCCGTCTGTCTGTCTGTCTGTCCGTCTGTCCCTTTCTCTTCAAACTAGTCACTCAGTTTTAAAGCTATCTTGCTGAAACTTAGCCAAAAGTTGTGTAGTTATTGTACGCAGTATATAAGTCGGAACGGGCCGGATCGGCCGACTATATCGAATGTTCCCATACGAAAGAATGAAATAAAAAATTCTAACGCTGTTGTTGTGATCAGATAGACTTAATTCCAGTTGGCGTTTTCTAACTACATATGTACTATTGAATTTCGGATTACATTTTATCAAAATCGGATAACTCAACCATATAACTGCCATAGGAAAGATCAAAAAATATATATATAAATGATGGAAAAAAATTATAATATCGAAATTAAAAACCATAAGCATGATTTTCAAAATATGGAGTTTATTAAAAACCCTTAAATCGAAAAAAAATTTTAATAAAATCCAACGACGTTATCATATAGCTACCATAGGCAGTGTTGCCAACTCTTCTGGTCATAAAGAAGCTAAAGTGACATATGAAAAAAGCTAGAAACCGCCAAAAAATTTGGTTGATGGCTAAGATTTAAAGCTATGATACTTGACTTGACTTATTTATTAATTATTTTTGAGCATTTCGTAAATTTCATTACGCTCCTTTTCTTCTGCTGCATTTTTATAAGTCTGATTGGTTACATCTTTTTCAGACAATCTGCTGGAACTTCTCCCGGCGTATTCCGTATCTACAAATATGATAATAAATGATATACAAAACAATCCCGCCTCTCGCTGGAGGGTTTTCGTAGAAACAGATGAAACAAACGTTATTATGTATGTTGGTCTGTGAAAAAGCAGATGACGAAGACTTATGTTTTGTTGGCTTCGCATGTGCGTGCAAATCGCAAAGCGGGGGGTAAGGTTTTAAAAAACTTTTTTAAATTATTTTTTTGTTTTTTTTCTGAATGACCAATATGTCAAAAACATTGTGTAAAAATTTTGAGTCAATTAAAGTCAAACTAACGGAGTTACAGCGTTTTAAACAACCGTATTTGGACGTATTTTCACGTATAAAAATACTTTGAATCGATTTTGCCGAAGACGTTATTTTGAAAGTCGGCGAACATCAGAACTCAAAATCTACTAAACCGATCCTTTTCAAATTTTTAACACAAATTCTCAACATAAATACGCAGGTAATCAGGAAGAGTTTTTTTTTAATTTTTTTCTATTTTTAAGAAATAAATTAACAACGATTTTTTAAGCTAAAATCGCACTTTTAACTTTCAAGGGCTCCCAAAAATAGACAAAAAATAAATTTAAAAAAATTGAAAATTCCTGATTACCTCGAGAAATTTATTATCTTTATAACGCATATCACATTTTATTTTTAAGATGATCCGTTAACGCCCTATGATGTTCACCGCAAAACAACTTTTTCTTTAGGCGCTTTGGAAGATTAACCGCCACAGGCTTATTTCTTAATATTTTTTAACAATTTCTTTTTCTAATACTCTTCAAAAGTTAAACAATAACATGTAATTAAGCTCAATAAAATAAACTTACTCATTTCGCCGCAAAAAAAATCAAACATGGCCCTTTTTTGGCCTTTAAAACCTTACCTCCCTCTTAACCTTTTTTTTTTATGGCTCGTTATCAAAAAAAAAAATCTGTTTATTTCATTATCAATATTTTGCAATCATGTAAGAACGAGGTTTTTTGCGTGTTCAAAGGGGGATGGGAGCAAATTCGTCACCGTGTAAGACCGAGTTCGTGCTAAAAAAAAGTCCGTGTTAAGCGAGGGCCAAATGTACTCAAAAAATCATGGTCATGTTATTAATACGAAAGTCAAAAATAATTAGAAAACACTATCTGGAGGAAATCATGTCAATATGATAAAGAACAACGACGTACATTTTTTTTTTGTCATTCTCTCCTATGGTAGCTATCCGATATAGTCGCCCGATCCGGTCCGATTCTTTATATACCGCGTGCAATGACTACACAACTTTTGGTAGTTTCAGCAAAATAGCTTTAAAACTGGAGAGTAGTAAACAGAGTTAACAGACAGACGAACGCTAAAATCGAAATATTTTTTTGCACCCAAGCTTAAAATTTTTCTTAGTATTTAAATCTTTTTTGCCGAAAAATAATATTGTGCAAAAACAAAAGCTTAAAAATAATCTTTGCAACATCTTTTAATTTGATTTAAACCAAAACGACAGACCTTAATGACTTAAACAGTACAAGAATACATAATTATCAGTTACGTTATGCAGCTTGCTAAATAGAAAGTTGTAGTTGTTTAAGCGTTTTTATTATTTGTAACCAAAAGCAAATCTGTACCCTGTAATGTCTGTAATATTTTGGTTTTTTTCGAAAAAGCAATGCATTTTTCCAGCATTAAAACTTTTACTCACCCCTTAAGCCATACAAACTGGGGTATACTGAGAATACCTATTTCAGTACTTGCTCAGTCCAAATGAAAGAAAGCATTGTAGTGAGATGGAGCGAAACAGATCGAATACGACGAAGTTAAAAGAGAATGCTACACGACTTGTTTGTTACTTTAGAATTTTAAGCACTTTCTTTTTTTCAATTAATTTGTAGATTTTTTTAAATTTCTTCCCTGTGTAAAATTTCATAAAAGTTTAGCACTCAGATACACTTTTTGGCAGACCTTTTTTGCTGTTTGAGGCGAAAATTGCAGGTCTAAACGAACGAGCATCAAGCTGAAGAAAAAGACTTTGTTATATACCATATACACACATACACATGTTTATATGTACAAGAAACGGACACTAACACAACGGTTAACTGGCGCGCGATCTCCCGAGTTAAACTGACATTGCCAACGCTCTCGAAGAGACTGAGACGAGCGCAGCGGAGCTGTAAACGTGTCTTAGACTCGGGCCAGAGAACGCTAATATGATGGCAAAGAGGCGGAAAGAGCGGCCGAGAGGGATCCGGTAAAAGCCAAGAGTGAGACAAACAAAGAAACTAGTTAGGTTACTGACAGAGCCGGCATAAGCCTGAGGTGAGCTCCACGGGAGGAATACCGCGACGCGCTCCCACCCAGACTGAGAAAATAGCATAAAGCTCTCCTCGCCCGTCTTTCGTTGCCGGAGGGAAAGTTCCCTGAATTCCAGTCCGTCCCGTTTTTCTGCCGTGAATAGGGAAATCTTTTATCGCCGTTAGATAGGAAAAAAATTGTTTAAGACCGCGGAGCTGGAGCACAAACTCAAGCCGGACCGCTCGGTTGGCAAATTCGCCAACCACTTTCTGACATAACCAACAAGAGCAAAGAAAATGGGTCTTTTAAAATTGAAAGAAGGTAGTAGATCCTTTTAGAATACGAACAAAAGCAAATCTAGACAAAACAAAACCTAAAAACATTTACAAGCAAAATATTATCAAGAACCCACAGTATTGGTTATGGTGTTTTGGCTTTTAGTTACGACAGGTGCCGAGATGGTTATTTCTCAATCTAGTCCTCAACTAAGCCCTCCTCAAGCATTCAAATTTTTCTCGGCTTATATATACGTTTCCACACCTGGATAGCACATATGTTCCTTTGGTCGGAAATCGGAGTTCAGATTAGAACCAGCAATTTACTGATCAAAAGATATCTTTAAATCTTTTGTCTGCTCGTACTGATACAAAAGGTACTCGTTTTTTAGCTTCAAAACTCTTTTTCAAAATTTAAATTTTCATACTTTAATTATGTTTTATATGACAGTATATAAATCAAAATTTGGCAAATCTTAAGAGCTCTAAGGGCTCAGAGGCCAATAATATGGTATGTCATAATAATATACGATTGCAACGAAATATACCAAAAAATATACTATATAAAACAAAAGTTTGAATGAACATTTTTTTAAATAGCGCATATTAAAACACAAAATGTTAGAAAACTCGTTTATATATGGGTGATTCCATATCAGATTTACAGTCGATATTGAGAAATTCGATGAGATATTTTTTTTCTTGCTCTTTATCGAAAATAAATCGACACGTATTTTTTTATATGGCTCAGAAAATTTTTTTGACAAAGTTATGATTTTTTGAACTTTTGATGAACTTCCCTTTTTTTGATGACAGTCGCGTTTTCCAGCCCGAATAACTCGAAAACCGTACGTCGCAGGAAAAAAATATATAGGAAGTAAAAATTTCATCCTTCCTTCTTCTTTGCAAAACTTTCGTGAAAAAATTTTTTTAAACAATTTTCACCACAAAAAGTTCAAATGTTAATAACAAATTATTTTTCTCCAACTTGGACCATTTTGATTTTTTTTTTTTTTTTTACAGTAAATCCTTCACATTCTTCTGATGAACATACTAAAGTTTCAGAATGGTATCAAAATTAGTTTTTGAGTTACAGAATTAAATAGAATTAAAAATTCATTTTATTGACCCTTACTATGCGCGCGCGAAGCGAATTGACGCTCGTTAGAGTCGTTGGTCGGCGCACGCCCTGAGACCGAGCGCGCGGACCGTGCATGATAATCTTTAAAATTCTGTAACTCAAAAACTAATTTTGATACCATTCTGAAACTTTAGTATGTTCATCAGAAGAATGTGAAGGTTTTACTGTGAAAAAAAAAAAATCAAAATGGTCCAAGTTGGAGAAAAAATAATTTGTTATTAACATTTGAACTTTTTGTGGTGAAAAATTGTTTAAAAAATTTTTTCACGAAAGTTTTGCAAAGAAGAAGGAAGGATGAAATTTTTACTTCCTATATATTTTTTCCTGCGACGTACGGTTTTCGAGTTATTCGGGCTGGAAAACGCGACTGTCATCAAAAAAAGGGCAGTTCATCAAAAGTTCAAAAAATCATAACTTTGTCAAAAAAATTTTCTGAGCCATATAAAAAATACGTGTCGATTTATTTTCGATAAAGAGCAAGAAAAAAATATCTCATCGAATTTCTCAATATCGACTGTAAATCTGATATGGAATCACCCATATATCTCTATAATCTATTCTATGAAATTAAAACAACTTCAAGACCCTAAGAAAGAAATGGGATGAATAATTAAAGTAATGTCAAGCTGTCTTGATTGTCTTTGGGCGAGTTATTATACTCTTAAAGAGCAAAGGGTATTATAATTTCAGTCAGAAGTTTGCAACGCCTCAGACCCCATAAAAAATATATGTTCTTGATCAGCATCACGATCTGAATCCAAATACGTCTGTCCGTCTGTCCGTTTCTATTTAAACTAGTTTCTTGCTAAAACTTTGTATATATGTTTTATATGTAAGTCGGAATGGTCCGGATCGGGCGACTATATCAGATTGGTCCAATACGAGAGACTGAAAAAAAAAAATTATCACGCCGTTGCAGCAGTGGCGGATTTAGTATTTTGCCGCCCTAGGCCCTGTCTGATTGCCGCCCTTTTTAGAGAATACATTTTATTTCTTTGAATCCGTTCATATTATTTAGATAGGTTAATTGTAAATAAGCGCAAGATAATAAGCAACCCCGGACAAACCGAAGTCAGTGTAGTAAGTTGACAATCCAAATTAATACATTCATTCGCGAAAGTCTCTTCCAAATCTTCAGAATACATACTAGTAACTAATTCATCTGCGCGAATTTTTAATTCATTGGTATCAATTTCATATGAGTTTGTAAAAAAATTTAACTTTTCATAAAGATTATGATAAGCACTTTTACGTCCTGTCAATTGTACACTTAATGTATCTGAAATTGGAAAGTAAACGTTGGTTCGAAACTTTTTTTCTCCAGAGAAAGCTGTTCTTTCATTTTCCCGTGACTCGCCAGCCTGAAGTTTTCGGTTTAAATAAATATTATGGATCAAAATTTATGTATTATTCAGACTCAGAACAATATCACAAGTATGCAACTATATCACATCAATCGGTCGAATATATATCTACATACATAAATATGTACTTGAATTTTAATAAAATTTTACAATAATTACGTATTATTGCTTTATGCTATACAAGTTCGTTAATATGCGTCAATATACTTCCCAATATTGCGAAAATGAAACATCAATGTTATTAAATTTTTATTTTCTTCAAATTGTTTCTATTTTTCAAAAAATTGACTATAAAAGGAATATATTAATTTATTTGATTCTATAGAAATCATTTTGAATAATAAAAATATTTTTATTTACGAACAAAAAGAAAAAAAATAAGAAAACATTGTTCAATTTTATTTAGAAGCGTCTCAATTGTAAGATTAAGTTTACTATAGATACAACAAGTCAACAGAGCTTTGAAAATTCGTCAGCTTTTCAATATTCAGTTATTTCTGTTATAAAATATTTTTTATCAGTATTGCACTCACGGGTAAAAAAGTTAATCATAAAATAAATTACATTCTATTTCATAGAAATTTATTTGTTATATAAAAGAATCAGAATAAATCCTTAAAATGATTTGTCGTTACATTATATCAGATTTACAATTTTGACATTTTTAACAAGAAAGGAAGCTAGCTTCGGCAAGCCGAAGCTTATATACCCTTGCAGTCATCAAATATGTCGAACAAAACGCATAAAGGCTAGACAACATCGAATCTAAGACGATTTTTCTATTCATTTTCCATATTTTTGACTATAGATCATATGGGAGCTATACGATATAGGGGTCCGATTTTGATCAAATTTAATTCGTAATTCAAGAGTCGTAAGAAAACTCTATATTCCAAAAATCATACTTGTCTGATGAAAAACAACGATGTTATAATTTTATTTCCATTATTTCTATATAGATTTTTCGATCTTTCCTATGGCAGCTATAAGATATAGAGTACCGATTTTTATGAAACTTTTTTCCAATATAAACGTTGTTAAAAAACTTGATATTAAAAAATCATGCTCGTGGGATAAAAAACAACGATGTTATCAATTTATTTCCATTAATTCTATATATAATTTTCGATCTCTCCTATGGCAGCTATATGATAGAGTTATCCGATTTTGATCAAATTTAATCCGAAATTCAATAACAGTTAGAAAACGCCATCTTGAAGAATTCAAGTCGATCTGATCAAAAACAACGGCGTGAGAATTTTTATTTCATTCTCTCATATGGGAGCTATCCGATATAGTCGGCCGATCCGGCTCGTTCCGACTTATATACTGCGTGCAATAACTACACACCTTTTGGGAAAGTTTCATCAAGATAGCTTCAAAACTGAGAGACTAGTTTGCGCGGAAACGGACAGACGGACAGACGGACAGATGGACAGACGGACAGACGTACATGCATATTTGGATTCTGATCGTGATACTGATCAAGAATATATATACTTTATGGGGTCTGAGGTGTCTCCTTCACTGCGTTGCAAACTTCTGACTGAAATTATAATACCCTTTTGCTCTGCAAGGGTATAAAAATTTGCAGCCCCCCAGGCTGTGCCGCCCTAGGCCCGGGCCTCACGGGCCTAGGCGGTAATCCATCACTGCCTTGCAGATCAAAAGGGTATTATAATTTCAGTCAGAAGTTTGCAACGCAGTGAAGGAGACACCTCAGACCCCATAAAGTATATATATTCTTGATCAGCATCACAAGTAGAATCAGAATACGTCTGCACGTCTGTCCGTCTGTCTGTTTCTCTTCAAACTAGTCTCTCAGTTTTAAAGCTATCTTGCTGAAACTTTACTGACAGGTGTGTAGTTATTGCACGCAGTATATAAGTCGGAACGAGCCGGATCGGCCGACTATATCGGATAGCTCCAATACGAGAGAATGAAATAAAAAATTCTCAGGCCGTTGTTTTTGATCAGATCGACTTGAATTCTTTCAGATGGCGTTTGCTAACTACTATTGATTTTCGGATTAAATTTTATCAAAATCGAATAACTCTATCGTATAGCTCATAGGAGAGATCAAAAAATATATATAGAATCCATGGAAATAAATTGATAACATCGTTGTGTTTTATCCCACGAGCATGATTTTTTAAATATCAATTTTTTTAACAACTCTTATATTGAGAAAAAAGTTTCATAAAAATCGGACAACTATATCTTATAGCGGTAATTGTTTACAAGTGCGGTCCACGGTAAAAACAGCTTTAAAAAATAAAGAAAGATATGCAAATGATGTGTTTTTTTCTAACATTTCGAAATCCGTTGGCGGAAAGTGCAAATTATTAACATTTAAAGATGCGATTGGTAGTAGAGCTGGGTCGACCACTTAAATTATTTTCGATATATCGAGTATTTGGGTTTCCGAACCAATATCGATATTCAGTGTCGATGGTAAACGATAGTTGCAAGTGAAAAAAGGGTAATTGTTTAAAAGTGCAATGCGCGGTAAAAACAGCTTTAAAAAAAAGTAAAATATGAAAATTATGTTTTTTTTCTAAAATTTCGAAATCCGTAGGCAGAAAGTGAAAATGTTGCACCGTTTTATTGTTATTAACAATTAAAGATGCGATCGGTAGGACAAATTCGGATCTGAGTTACCGTATTTGCATGTGATGTGCCGATTATTGCAGTCGTCTGGTGGCGGATTATTGCAAATACGGTCACTCAGATCCGAATTTGTCCTACCGATCGCATCTTTAATTGTTAATAACAATAAAACGGTGCAACATTTTCACTTTCTGCCTACGGATTTCGAAATTTTAGAAAAAAAACATCATTTTCATATTTTACTTTTTTTTAAGCTGTTTTTATCGTGCACCGCACTTGTAAACAATTACCGCTGGTAGCAGGCGAAATTACTTATTGCACATATTTTTCGTGGAACTTTCAAGATTTGCGGTACTTTCGTTCGAAGACGAACACTTAAATTTGTTTGTTCAGTTTTTAGTTTAGTTTTTTTTAGTGCGCGCGCACTTATGCATTGATACATATGCTATATTATTTTTTTGAGATAATTTATGCTATATTTATTTTTGAGATAATTTCTTTAAAAAAATTTTTTCCCAGTGTAACGGCCGCACTATAAGCCGATATTTAAGGCTCGATATCTCGGAAACGGTGCGAGATATCAAAAAATTTTGTTTATTAAAAAGTATTTTTTTTTTGGGCCAATTACCCAAAATATGTCCTCAAATCTTGGCACCCCGGAAACTAAAATCGTGCCCAATTACCAAAATGATCACGTAAAAAAGTGAAATTGGAAACGTACTTACAGGTTAAATTTGAGTTTGGGCACAGCAACTAAATTACAAAAATGTCTTTCCAGAATACCCCTATCGTAATGTTTTAGCTGGCAACACTGCCGATTGCCGTAGGGTTGCCCCAGATAGATATGTTTCCACGTATTGCAGCAGAAATTATAAACAAACAGTGAACATAAGAATTAGTAAAAAAAAAAGAGTACAGAGCTCCTTACATCTCACTGCCATGCCCATTTTGCGTGCGCCACTGCAGCCTTAACAGTTATTTACACCAAAAAGAAACTTGTGCCTAAATTCGCTGACGAGATGCCGTGTTGGTACTACGACAAGAAAGAGCTACGCGAGACGCCCTCGATCCTCGACGGGATAAGCTTTGAGACAGAAAGGCGCTACCGAAAGGAGGGTGCCCGCTTTATAATGGAGTGTGGCACTAAGATGGGCTTGGGCCACAACACGATGGCCACTGGTGTGGTGTACTTTCACCGCTTCTACATGTTCCACTCTTTCCGCAGCTTTCCACGCTACGTGACTGCCTGTTGCTGCCTTTTTTTTGCTGGAAAGGTGGAGGAAACCCCCAAGAAGTGTCGAGACATTATAAAAACAGCGCGCGCCATTCTTAACGACAACTACTTCTATTCTTTTGGTGAGGATCCCAAAGAGGAGGTGATGACTCTTGAGCGCATCCTGCTGCAGACCATTAAATTCGACTTGCAAGTGGAGCACCCGTATACCTTCCTGCTGAAGTACGCCAAGTGCTTTAAGGGAGACCAACAGAAACTGCAGAAAATGGTTCAAATGGCGTGGAACTTCGTCAACGACTCTCTCAGCACCGTGGTCTGTCTTCAGTGGGAGCCGGAGATTATTGCCGTGGCGCTTATCCATTTGGCAAGCAAGTTGAGCAAGTTTACTGTTCAGGACTGGGAGGGTCGCCAACCCCAGCATCAGCGCTGGTGGGACATGTTCGTTTCGGACGTGACGATGGAGATTCTCGAGGATATCTGCCATCAAGTTTTGGACCTTTACCAGTCCACACAAAAGGAAGCTCACCAACCAAGCAGTCCGCCCCAAAAGCCGCCTAGTCGGGCAGACAGCCCAACAGCGGTCAAGCCACCAAATGCTTCGGGAATCGGGCTGTCCACCATTCAGCAACAGCAGCAACCCCCACCGCCCGTAAGTGGCAATGGTAGCTTGATAGAGGTTAACAACATACAGAGCATTAAGTCGCTGGTCAGTTTAGTGCCAGCCCTGGGTTCCGGCGACCTGCAGTCCCTTTCACAGGGTCCAACGCCTCCGGGACAAGCTCCAGGCTACCACCTATATCACGCTCCGCCTCCACCACCTCCGCCAGTCGTTCCTATGCCGCCCTACCCGTCTTCTGGTTGGGGCGTCCAGCAGCCGCCTAGCCACTACGGCAGCGTGGTTCCTCCTATGCCGCCCGGGCCCAGTGGCTACTACAGCGCCGGCGGACGACCTCAACAGCGTTATTAGTGTGGAGGCACGATAACCAATCGCAGATCACAGATTTAACATATTAATAATTAATAAAATAGTAATTTTATTAAAAACAAAAGTCGTCGAACCAAGATACGCTGTAAAAGTCAAGGTTTAAGATTGGATCTTTAGTAGTGGCTTCAGGGATAGATAAGTAAAAATTACTTGGCTACTTAAAGTTTATTCAGAATTCGTTTCTTTGTATACAAGCTAAGCTATGTACGAGGATGCGTTAGTTTCTGCTTCTGAGCGTATGTATCTGTAAAGAGGTGTATAGAGTGGTATATGTTGTCGGGCGTGGCAGATACATAACACTGCTCTGCATGGGTTTTGCGAATAAGATGCGACATAGTGTTTCCGAAAGGTTTTTTTCGTGCTGATCACGGATCCGGAGTCGGCAGGGCCCGAGTTTATACAGTCCAACCTCTCAATACCTGTGGTCACGGGCGGTTGGGGGAGTATTACTTTCCTACTTTCGGTAAGACCCCTACATATAAACACGCTCCCTGCCCTAACGGTGCATGCAAACAGTTTGATTTGGTCTCGTTTTAAAGATCACAAATCTAGCTTCAATTTCCAATATTACTCAATTTCGTAGCACGTCAGAATTTTGGGGTATAACTTTTCAAAAGTGGCCAAAAGCGCCATTTTGTCAAACACTATTTTTTCAAAAACTTGACGTGATGGGAAAATTTCCACTCCGGATTCGTGATCAGCACGAAAAAACCTTTCGGAAACACTATATCGCATCTTATTCGCAGCGCAAAAGTTGAAATTTGCAGAGCAGTGTAATCAATGGTACTATATAAATATTGCAAACTTGGCTAACGCTTATTCGAGTAAATTTTTATGCAATTTAACGCGCACTTCACTATGAGTTTTTATGTTTCCCTTAAGCTTATTTTCGGAGTTGGAGCTGACCCGACTTACTTAATGTGCCTAAGCCATGTGATTTCCTGATCTTATCCGGAGCTCGGCTCGTCTCACAAAATTGTACAATGAAATCGGCTCATCAATTTGCTTTTGATTAGGTGTATGTGGCGAGTTTGTTTAGTTAACTGTGAGTGGTGGGTGTGAAAATAGTAAATCCTAACATTTGCGAATCAAAGTCAGCTCTCCACTCTCATAATACTGCGGGATCATTAGAAATTCAGGAAGGGCGCGTCTGGTGCAGGAGGACGTTGATGCAGCTTGGGGCGATGTGGATGACGATACAGATGCCTGCCGCACAATATGGCCAACTTTTCCTGTTTACCAAAAATTAAAAAGTTTTAGGAGAAAGGTTAACAACTGAATTAAGATATAATGATCAATAAAAACGAACCAATTTTTATGGTAACAAGAAAGGAAGCTAGCTTCGGCAAGCCGAAGCTTATATACCATTGCAGTCATCAAATATGTCAAAAAAATACATAAAAGTTAAACAACATCGAAGCTAAGACGATTTTTCTATTAATTTTCCATATTTTCGACTATAGATCATATGGGAGCTATGTATATGATATAGTTGTCCGATTTTCATCAAATTTAATTCGTAATTCAAGAGTCGTTAGAAAACTTTAAATTTCAAAAATCATGCTTATCAAATAAAAACCAACGATGTTATAATTTTATTTCCGTTATTTCTATATAGATTTTTCGATCTTTCCTATGGCAGCTATAAGATATCCTTGTCCGATTTTTATGAAACTTTTTTCTCAATATAAGGGTTGTAAAAAAACTTAATATTCAAAAAATCATGCTTGTGGAATAAAAAACAACGATGTTATCAATTTATTTCCATTATTTCTATATATATTTTTCGATCTCTTCTATGGCAGCTATATGATAGAGTGATCCGATTTTGATCAAATTTAATCCGAAATTCAATAACAGTTAGAAAACGCCATCCTGAAGAATTCGATCTGATCAAAAACAACGGCGTGAGAATTTTTTATTTCATTCTCTCGTATGGGAGCTATCCGATATAGTCGGCCGATCCGGCCCGTTCCGACTTATATACTGCGTGCAACAACTACACACCTTTTGGGAAAGTTTCAGCAATAAAGCATTACAACTGAGAGACTAGTTTGCGCGGAAACGGACAGACGGGCAGACGTATTTGGATTCTGATCGTGATGCTGATCAAGAATATATATACTTTATGGGATCTGAGGTGTTCCCTTCACTGCGTTGCAAACTTCTGACTGAAATTATAATACCCTTTTGCTCTGCAAGGGTATAACAAATCTTTGGATTTGCTTTTTTTTGGGAGGCAGCCCCGAAGGAAAAAAACATTACGAAGTTATCTCTTTCCCTTTTACGATTTTAAATCGACCCACAGCTTAAGATATGTATGTATTTGCCATATACAAATAAGTTAACTGAGACTCAATCGATATTCTGTTACCTTTAAAATACTTTGGTTTAAAATACACCTTACCAATTACATTTACGCAATGAAAGCGTTTATCCAACTGACGCAGGATGGATAGATCACGGTACCGTTCCCAGGCATCCAAAATGTCCGTCACCTTAATCGGCACCAATTGGCTGTTGCCTTCGTCTCGCTGTAAATTAGAGGAGAGACTTTTTTATATTATGTTTAGAGGCATAAACTATTCCAGACGAACCCGTTTGAATTGCACTATGAGCTGCTTCTGGGTCACAAGCTCGATCAGTCGTTTGAGCTTACGGTGGTTTCCTTGCTGCTTGGAGGCCTGCATCAAAAGCTGTCTTAGATTGACCCTGCTGTTTGCTTGCCGCCGCACGGCCAACTGCTCAAAATATCCACGTATTAGTTCCTTATCATAGGTCACGTGCAGTTTTTCCAGCGCCTGCACTAGGGGCTCTACTTCGCAAATATTTTCTGTGGAGAGACGCGCCACAAGCGACTCAGTCGAAAAGCTTTGCTTAGGTAGCTGCACGAGGTCAGAAAATTGTATCATACACATTTGGACACGAGATTCAAATCTCACCTGTATGCCGCTGAAATTATTATCACACAAAATAAACCTTTGGTTGAAGGCTAAATCTAAACTGGGGCCGTTAACGGTTCCAGCCGCTGAAGTGCTGTGCCAGCCAGCGAACATGCCACCATCAAAGAACCCTGGCGAGCCGCTTCGACAGCGTGTCTGCTCTGCCCGGGCGTAAAGCGAAAGGCTACTGCCTCTTCCACCGGCTTGTTTTCGGCACTTAGGACACGTGGTCGGGTCCAGGACTTTGCCGATGGTGTTGGCCAGGAACTCTTTTTCCAGACAATCTAGACAATTATCCTCGTTACTGCTCAGGTCAAAATGGGATATGCAAGAAGAAGATGACGCCATGGCCACAACAGCCGCAGCAGCTACCAGCATTGGAGTAATTTGATCCTGCCCAGGCCCCGCTCCGCATTGCTGCTGCTGGCAAGATGAAACCGAAGTTGGCCTGAAATCAGTGCAACTGTAGCAACGTTCATCGATGCTAGTCGAGGGCTGGGAGCGGCGGGACCTAGATGAAGAGCTGCTTTTGGACATCACAGACGAGGAGTGGGATAGTCTTTTCGGCTTAGCTCCAGTCAACTTGGGCTCCGGATGTTCACTGGGCTCACTAGTGCTGCGCGAAAAACTAGGTCCTGTGTATAGGGTGTTGGGTAACGAATGAGCCAGAGCAGATTTTATCGATTGTCCACACCCGGGGGACTCCACATCCTTGTCCGTGCCATCGCCCATTGACTCATTTAAATCGATATCAACTCCATTTCCCATATTTCCCGCATCCTTAATCTGGTCCAAATTCAAGCTGATGCGGGCGAACTTCTTACTAAGACGCTGCTTTTGCTGATGCCGAATATCCTCCTGCGGAAAATCGTCGATAGGTGAGCTGAACAGTTGCCTTCCTTGCGTGGGCGTGGTCCCGCCTATACCACTTATTTGACTTAAATCACGCTGCATTAGCAACAAATTAGCGTGCGGCAGGACTCCAAGGTCTTGCGCCCCGGCCACATACTCCAATTCCGAGGATGGGTCAGGCTCGAAGTCCATTTCCAAAAACTCGGTTTCGTCCTCGACGCCTATGGTGCTACTGCACCCTCCAGTACTAACCGGTCCCCTATTTAAATCCAAGCGGTGCCGACCTCCCCTGCTTATGGCGGTGGTCTCCAGATCTATGTCGAAGTCAATCCCGTCGCCGCGGTAGGCATAGACGCAGTCGTCCGAATTTATTGATATATCCTCCGCGTCTCCGTCATCATCATCTAGAAGGATAAGATCGTCGCCGTAAAAGTTGTCGCTGGCATAGCTGAGATTCCCTGTCGAGTTGTTCATGGATGTGCGGCTTGAGCTTAGACCGCCGGTAGCCGCATCAGTGGGCGAAAGGGCAGCGGCGTTCAGACCGTAACCAGCCACATCCAAGTCCAAGTCGCTGTAAGCGCCGCTTCCCAACTGTTCAAAGTAACCAGGTAGAAATCATATTAAAACATATTTTTCCCTACGGTGGCATACAAAATCACTCGCCTTATTCACGCCCTCGGCTGCCACCGCCGTCGCTGTGCATTCTCTTGCCCTGGCCTCGCCCCCTCCCCCAGCTTCATCTTCCCCGTCGTCTGGTACAACGGCCTGTCTTAAAGTTGTTGGTGCCCGTTTTTGTTTCGTGCCCATTGTTGATCCCCCCGTAACACAATCGAGTTGTCGAAATGGGAGCTCCGAATGGCGTTCATCCGACGCATCAGGACCGCTGTTCCTATTGCCCGCACTACAATCAACTATATTATTATTGTTATTCAGATGCAAACGCCAGTCCAATTTATTTAATTCACGAAAATCCATTCCATTTGCGGCCTAGGGATGGCAATGAAATACCGATGGGAGACAGAGCATGCCAATCGATTGCAATTAACAGTCCTTTAACAGTACTCTGCTGACAGGCTGTTTAATCAAAAGTGAATCTGCAGTAACAATCAACTCGCGCATCAACTTTGCCTATTACAAAAACTTTAATTTTTTTTGTGTTTGCTTTTTTTATATTTTTTTGTAAAAGACCAATATGTCGAGGATATTGTGTAAAAATTTTGAGTCAATCAGAGTCAAACTAAATGAATTGCAGCGTTTTAAACGACCGAATTTTAAAACGTTATTTTTAAAGTCGGTGAACATCAGAATTCAAAATCTAATGAACCGATCCTTTTCAAATTTTTAACACAAATTCTTAACAAAAATACGCAGGTAATCAGAAACAGTTTTTTTAATTTTTAATTTTTTTCTATTTTTAAAAAATAAATTAGCAGCGATTTTTTCAGATAAAATCGCACTTTTTACTTTCAAGTGCTCCCAAAAATATAGAAAAAAAATATTTTAAATAAACCTCGGGAAATTCATTATCTTTATCTTTATCTTTTTGTAAGATGATCCGTTAACGCCCTATGATGTTCACCGCAAAACAACTTTTTCTTAAGACGCTTCGGAAGATTAACAGCCACAGGCTTATTTCTAAATATTTTTTAATAATTTTTTTTTTCAATACTCTTCAAAAGTTGAACAATAACATGCAATTAAGCTCAATAAAATAAACTTACTCATTTCGCCGCAAAAAATCAAAGATAGCCCTTTTTTGGCCTTTAAAACCTTACCCCCGGACATTTAAATTTATTTTTTTCAGTTTTTAGCTTTTTTTTTATAAAAAATATCTCAAAAAATAATATAGCATACATATGTATCAATGCATAAGTGCGCGCGCACTATTTTATGTTTTTTTTGTAAGCAATTTTTATAAAAAAAAAATTCCGCCAATTTTTCTAAAAAAAATTTTTTTTCAGTAATTTGTTTTTTTTTTATATTTCAATAATTTTTTGCCCGTGGCCCGCCCGCCGTGATGTGAAACGACCGCACTGTAAGCCGACATTTAAGGCTCGATATCTCGTAAACGGTGTGATATATTTTATTTATTAACCAGTTAACCAAAATATGTCTGGAAACTAAAATCGTGCCGAAAAAGTAGTAGAAGGTGAGAAGAAGAGTGATGTTGCAAAAGAATTTAAGATTCCTCTGAGTACTCTCTCAACAATAATAAAGCACAAGGAGAAAATTAATGCTGCTCGAACTGCTGGAGTACGGAAAAGAATTACTAAAGGCGAATTTCCTCGCCTAGAAGAAAGCCTGGTCATTTGGCGAAGACAGTGTAGACGTAGAGCCGAGGAAAAATCGATTCTCAGTGCATCGATTTTTTAGAAAAAAAACATCGATTTAAATCGATTAAATCGAAAAAAAACAAAATTTTTATTTTTATATCAGTGAGATCAAATTTAAAAATTATGAAAAGTAAACTTAACTATGAACTTAAAAAGCTAAAAAACAAAAATAAGAACAAAAAGGAAATTAAATAAAAATAATGGTTTTCAAAATAAGCAAAGCATTTAAATTTCCGTTAGCCATTGGTTTTTGCTTGCAAAACTTAGCTTATCAACTGTTTTTCGGTTTTTTTAGGCTTCCGATACATCGATTCCCTAAAAACCAAATCGATGCATCGGCTTAAAAAAAAGAATCGATGTAATCGATGTTGACATCGATTTTTTTCCAGCTCTACAGTAGAGGACAAAAAGTGTCTATTAGCGGGAACTTGTTGAAGAAAAAAGCTAAAGAGTTCGCGTCTACTCTAAACATCAAAAACTTTGCGGCAAGTGAAGGGTGGCTTACAAATTTCAAAAAGAGAAATTGAGTTGTTTTTAAAAAAGTTTGTGGGGAAAGTGGAAGTGTTGATGATAGAGCTGGAAAAACATCGATGTTCACCTACATCGATGTTTCGATGTTTTTCAGAAAAAACATCGATGTATCGCGATACATCGAACTTTTTTAGCGTGTACTTAAAAAATTTTTTTTTACTAATATCAAATATTAAAATAATATATTTAATATAAATATATATTAAAATAATATATTTATTTAATTTAAATAAATAAGTAAAATGTTAAAAAGTGGTTTTTTATAAAAAATTACTCTTTGGTTGAGATCCATAGTTTTCATTAATATTTTTTCAAATTTCAAAACGAAGCTTAAACACTATTTAATATTAAAAATGAAACTTAAAACTAGTTTTTCATTAACCGCAAAACTTAAAATAAAATAACAATTCAATTAAAACAAAAATTCAAAAACAACTTAAAGTTCTACTCAAAACAAAAACGAAAAAAAATTAAAATTATTTTTTATTTAATTGATAAAAATTTTTGATGCGCTTACCCAATTTGTTTACCAGCCGAGTAGTGATGAGTAAAGAGGAAACATCGAACATCGATGATTGAAAACTTCGATGTATCCGAGCTTTGGAAAACATCGATGTATCGATACATCGTCGATGTTTTCTCCAGCTCTAGTTGATGATGCAGTTTGTTTAGATTGGCACGGTAAATTGAAGACCTTGATTGAAAACTATGATGCCCGAGACATTTTTAATACTGATGAAACTGGTCTATTTTTTAAATGTTTACCGGACAAGACGCTTACTTTTAAAGATGAAAAATGTAAGGGAGGAAAACATAGTAAAGAGAGGTTGACAGTTTTACTTGCAGTAAATATGGATGGATCGGAAAAACTTAAACCCTTAGTGATAGGAAAAGCAATGAAACCGCGTTGTTTCAAACTGATTATCGTGCTAACAAAAAAGCTTGAATGACGACAGAACATTTTAACAATTGGATTTTAACAGTTAATGAGGACATTAAACGACAAAAGCGGAAAACTTTACTATTTTTAGACAACTGCACTGTCCACAACCGTCCTCCCACATTGGAACTCTACTTCCTACGTGGAACTCTATTTCTTTCCGCCAAATACAACTTCCAAATTACAACCATTGGACCAAGGGATTATCGATAATTTTAAGACGTTCTATCGCAAAGAAATTAGAATCTCTCGATAAACAGCTAACTGCAAATATCACGGTTGTGACAGCTATTTTACTAATTGACAAAGCATGGAGAGCTGTAACACCCCTAACGATTCTCAACTGCTTCAAAAGATCCGGTTTCTTAAAAGAAAATCAAGAAAATCTTCCAATACTTATAGATGATGAAGAACCAGTAATAGAACCATTAGTTGACATCAGCGGTGTGAGTTTTTCTGATTAGGTTGAAGTGGATGAAAATGTTGCTGTCTCAGGTTCACTAACCGATAGCGAAATTTTATTTGCGACAAATACGCAAATTAACGATGAAGATGAGGACGATACATCGGAACCTTTGGCAAAGGTGTCAGTTAAAGAAGCAAGATCCTTATTTGATACCTTACGAAGCTTCTGTCTACAAAACGAAAGTGATGAAAAATCATTTCAGGCACTTTTTCTCTTAAAAAAAGTTATTGACACTGCTCAATAATGAGCAGCAGAATTGTGCTTTAAGGGGCACAACTAGTGTGAGATTTTAAAAAATTCGAATTTTTTCTTTTCTAATTTTTCGGTAGATTACACCTTTAAAAATGACATATTAAAATTTCAAATCGATATCTCAAATAGTTTTTGAGTTATAGCAATTTAAAGAGCAGCCGCTCTCATAACAGTGCAAGCGATCATTTTATCTTTAAACGCGTTTTTCTCGAAACAGCATTTTCCGAATTTGCTGCAGTGATTACTCAAAAACGAATGATCCGATCAATACCAAATTTTTTTTTACATGTTCTTTATATAGTTCTACGTACCATGAACTATCGGTTTTTTGATCCGATCAAAAATCGAATTTTGGCAGGCCAAAAACGACCAAAATTTTGGTTAAAATTCGACTTTTTTTTTAAAACGCTGCCATTTTGTCATTTTTTGATATTTTTTTATCGTAGTTCATGGTATGGAAAATATTATCTAGTTTAACGAGAATTTTTCATTTTTTGATTTCGTCCACGGAGAGGGCCGGAATCACTGCAGCAGTTAAGACACTTTTTTTAAGCGCCGTTGGAGATCGACTCTAACTTAAAAAATATTTAACTTTTTTCTTTAAAAATTTCACTATACATTTTTAAAAGATGTATAAATATATTCTGAAAATTTGATAAGAATTGATCAAGTAGTTTTTTTTATAAAAATTCCCAAAAATCACCATTTTGTTTAGGCCGTCACACTAGTTGTGCCCCTTAAAGCAAACCAGTATAACAAAGTTCTTTCGAAAGATTAATTCACATTACGAATACATGTACGTACACGAATTTACCTCTTAACTCTTGTCATTTTTATATTAATAAATAAAAATTAACCAACACTTAATATTTCGAAGTTTTAATTATTTTCTCTCACAAATTTCGGACCATTTAATATTTCAAACCCTCGGTAATTCGCAATATTTCAAGAGTCCCCCGTTTTTAGAATTTACAAGAGTCGACTGTATTTTATTCAAAATTTTTTTTAATACTTTTCAAAATTTGAACAATACTATGTTATTAAACTTAATAAAATTAAATTACTCATGTCGCCGCAAAAATATTACAAATGTAGCCGGTTTTTTTTTGCCTTTAAAACCTTGCCCATACCGTGGCCCGCAATAGTAAACAATTTGCCGCATTTGTTATTCAGCCTATTAAGCATAAAAAATAAAAGTGGCCAATTTTGTTCGAAATTAATATAAACTCTAAAATTTCAGGCTACCAGACAATTTACAAATTTTTAAAAAATATTGGTGAAATTCGTTGATAAAATTTTGTCGGCAAAAAAAATAACCAAACACCAAAATGCGGGAGCATCTAAAATTTGGACAAATAGACCAGTGTTGCCAGGTGCTGAGCGCCCGTATAAGCTAGATTTTTGAAAAAATAAGCTAGAATAAACTAAAAAATTATAAAAAAAAAAATGCTAAAAAAAAACAAGCTACACCCAAATGAGAGAAAGCACGAAACATTATTATGTTTTTATATGGATGGCAACAATCATTGGGGGCTATATTTATGATAAGGTCTTGATTGATTATTTGCGTGCATTTCGTACGCCCCAGTTGAATTTGAGCCGCTGCACTTCATTCTTTAAATTTAGTTGTGCACAATCGCGACAAATGGTCTACTGGCAATATCGCCGAGTGTTCGGCAATGAACAAACAAAGCGCTGCTTCCTGATCCTGAGTCTTGAAACACTTAGCCGGAAAATGTATTTTTTGCGATTCAGCAATTGATCCCATTGCTGAAGTGTGCTTTTTCGCTTTGGCTGATATTGTCGACTTACAGTAGTAACCATATGCTTTGGTTCCTTCTCCTGGCACTTTGCGTAACCACGCACATCACATTAAATGCACATAACCATTGGCAAAAAAAAGAACAAACTCCGATATTTCATGCCATAAAACATATTTTTCGTACAAAACATCCCGTGGATGTCGAAAATATATGTATAAAAATCTAAAATATAGTAGATGAATTTTTAAAGATGAAGTTAAAAAAAATTTATTTTTTTTACATTTTTATTTTTTTTTCTGAATGACCAATGTGTCGAAAACATTGTGTAAAAACTTTGAGTCAATTAAAGTCAAACTAACGGAGTTACAGTGTTTTAAACAACCGTATTTGGACGTATTTTCACGTAAAAAATACTTTGAATCGATTTTGCCGAAGACGTTGTTTTGAAAGTCGATGAACATCAGAACTCAAAATCTACTGAACCGATCCTTTTCAAATTTTTAACACAAATTCTCAACATAAATACGCAGGTAATCAGGAAGCGTTTTTTTTTAATTTTTAATTTTTTTCTATTTTCAAAAAATAAATTAACAGCGATTTTTAAAGCTAAAATCGCACTTTTCACTTTCACTCCCAAAAATGAACAAACAATAAATTTAAAAAAAACTTTTTCTGATTACCTCGGGAAATTCATTATCTTTACAACGCATATCACATTTTATTTTTAAGATGATCTGTTAACGCCCTATGATGTTCACCGCAAAACAACTTTTTTAGGCGCTTCGGAAAACAAACCGCCACAGGCTTATTTCTTAATATTTTTTAATAATTTTTTTCCTAATACTCTTCAAAAGTTAAACAATCACATGTAATTAAGCTCAATAAAATAAACATACTCATTTTGCCGCAAAAAAATATCAAATATGGCCCTTTTTTTTGGCCTTTAAAACCTTACCTTTTTTAATTTCCTTAAAAACGGAAAAAAAGACAACATCGTTGTTTTCATCAGCTTAAAGAAGTTGGGTCCAAAAAAATTTCAAATTTCAATTTTGAAAAGTGAAATGAAATTACCATTTTTTGACCATCGTTGCCCACCTTTTAGATTTTTTTAACCCACCCCCATTTCGAAGATATGGACCTTCGAAAATTTTCAAAACTTTTCGAATATCAAAAATTTTTTATTTTTCAAAATTGGTTTCTTAACTGTTAGAACCACATTTGACCACTTTTGCCCACCATTTAGAATTTTGAAAAAAAGAATACTTTGGAAGATATAGGGCTTTAAAGTTTTCTATCAATTACGTCTTAAAAAAAAATCTTAAAAAATTTATTTTTTCGGAAAGCACTAGAGAATTGAATGCTTTAAAATGTCCACCCCTTACATTTTTTAAAAATTTCAACGTTAGGGATTTAAAGAACTTTAAACTTCAAAAATAATTTAAAACAAGAAAGGAAGCTAGCTTCGGCAAGCCGAAGCTTATATACCCTTGCAGTCATCAAATATTTCGAACAGAATACACAAAGGCTAAACAACATCAAAGCTACGACGACTTTTCTATTAATTTACCATATTTATACCCTTGCACGATCAGAATCCAAATATGTCTGTACGTCTGTCTGTCTGTCTGTCTGTCCGTTTCTCTGCAAACTAGTCTCTCAGTTTTAAGGGGGGGGTAAGGTTTTAAAAAATTTTTTTTTACATTTTTTTTTTTTTTTTTCTGAATGACCAATATGTCGAGAACATTGTGTACAAATTTTGAGTCAAATAAAGTCAAACTAGCGGAGTTACAGCGTTTTAAACAACCGTATTTGGACGTATTTTCACGTATAAAAATACTTTGAATCGATTTTGCCGAAGACGCTATTTTGAAAGTCGGTGAACATCAGAACTCAAAATCTACTGAACCGATCCTTTTCAAATTTTTAACACAAATTCTCAACATAAATATGCAGGTAATCAGGAAGAGTTTTTTTTAATTTTTAATTTTTTTCTATTTTTAAAAAATAAATTAACAGCGATTTTTTAAGCTAAAATCGCACTTTTCACTTTCAAGTGCTCCCAAAAATAGACAAAAAATAAATTTAAAAAAAACTCTTCCTGATTACCTCGGGAAATTCATTATCTTTACAACGCATATCACATTTTATTTTTAAGATGATCCGTTAACGCCCTATGATGTTCACCGCAAAACAACTTTTTTTTAGGCGCTTCGGAAGATTAACCGCCACAGGCTTATTTCTTAATATTTTTTAATAATTTTTTTTTCTAATACTCTTCAAAATCTGAACAATAACATGTAATTAAGCTCAATAAAATAAACTTACTCATTTCGCCGCAAAAAAAAAATCAAACATGGCCCTTTTTTTGGCCTTTAAAACCTTACCCCCTCCCTTAAAGCTATTTTGCTGAAACTTTACTAAAAGGTGTGTAGTTATTGCACACAGTATATAAGTCGGAACGAGCCGGATCGGCCGACTATATCGGATAGCTCCAATACGAGAGAGCGAAATAAAAAATTCTCAGGCAGCTGTTTTTGATCAGATCGACTTGAATTCTTTCAGATGGCGTTTTCTAACTGCTATTAAATTTCGGATTAAATTTTATCAAAATCAGATAACTTTATCATATAGCTCCCATAGGAGAGATCAAAATATATATATATATATATATATATATATACCCTGCAGTTCCAAAAGTGTCTTGTCTTAGATGACATGGACGACTACCCACTGATGCGAGTGTCCGAAGCACCTGGAGCCGCACTGGTGCCATTTCATATAAAGCTCTTGTATAGCATTTAAGGATTTGACATGCATGCCGCTCTCGATGACCATTTTGTCCGATTCATCGAACGTGGCATCGATGGCTTATACGAATTTTGTATGGAGAAAATTCGTATAAGCTATTGATGCTTTCGTTGCTGACGTGGAGGCAATGTTGTCATCTATGGCAATGTCTAAAATGTCATCCCCAAATTCATATGAAAAACAATATACTTGTATATATATATTTTTTTTTATTTTATTAATTAATCTTATTTTGAAACATAAGAGATAAGTACATACATAAATAATATGAAATTAAAAAGTTTTTGTTTACCATTTATGTGGAATATTTGCAGGACAACGGCTGTTTTGCGTCCATCTATGGAACAAAAAATATTTTTATTATTACATATTATAAATGTATTACTTTTTTTAATTTAAAGCAAACTTACCTTTCAAACGAATTTACCGTACATACAGGCTGAATCCTAAAAAGATTTAAATAAGTTTGTAGTAAAAGACATAATATTTGTGTAATCTTAACGACACTTACATGATTTTTAAACAATTCCGCTGCCCGTTGCGCAAATTAAGTAATTTCACAACTAACTGTCATCGCACAACGCAAAAGAATGAGCAGTTCAATTTTATTTTGCACCCTTTTAGTATACCCTTCTTTTTTGGGTATAACCGACGATAAATGACACGCGAGTTATATTATATCTATATTTGCAGTTAATGTTATGTTATGTTATATCTTGGTTTAATAATTTAAATAATGTTGTATATATAAAATATATTATATATGTATATAACTTTATATATATATTATATTTAATATTTTAAGAACTTTAAAATCAAAAGAGTATACATAAGTCGAGCGCCCCTTAGCTGTATTTTCCATCGAAAACCAATTTTTTGTTTCTAACGGAGAATGACAACAGTGCAATTAGAAAAACGAAAGAATAGAAGACAAATTTGGAGTCGGGCCGCCGTCGGGTGGAAGCAACGAAATCGTATTCGAAGAGTGAGAAAGAGGGGGAAACTTAGGAATATCCCTTTTCCTTTCCTACACATTGATTGCTTGTATGCCAAAAGACACCAGGTGACAGCCAGAACTGCAGGGTATATATAAATAATGGAAAAAAAATTACAATGTCGTTGTTTTTAATCCCACAAGCATAATTTTTGGAACATAAAGTTTTTGAAATACTCTTAAATCGAGAAAAAAATTTCCAAAAAATCGGAGTACTATATCATATCCTATGTAGGTATATAGAAAAATCTATATCAAAATAACGGAAATAAAATGATAACATCGTTGTTTTTTATCAGACAATCATAATTTTTGGAATATAGAGTTTTCTAATGAGTCTTGAGTTTCAAATTGAATTTCATCAAAATCGGACAACTATATCATACTTTTGGTCCCATACAACATTTTTGAAAACAACTTTGAATAAATAAATAATTATGTTGTCACAAAAATATAAATATATTTGCTATTAAAAACAGAATAAAAGAATTTAGTTTAAAAATGGGTTGATGCTTGGGTTACATACGCCGAAATCTAATTTAGCGGACCAAAATTAAATTTAAAGATTGCGCGTGCTTCGGTTTTAAAAACCTTACAATTTGGAGCGCTTCAGGTAATCCTTATAGGTTACGTCACGCCACCACTGGGGGCGCTCGTAAACACCAGGAGTGGAAACAATAGTGCGCTGGAGATGCTGGTAAACCTGCAAAACCTTATTTGATGACACGAAAAAAACTTTTTACAAAAGACAACTTACATTTCCGTCGCTCATTCCCAACGGTGAGTTTAGAATAAAGTCGGTAGGCGCTATAGCATCCACCAGGGCGATAGCTTCATCTTTCAGAACAGGAAGGAGCCTCAAGATGCCTTCCTCGTACAAATCGAGCTGTTGCGAGTTTTCGCAGAAGTAACCACCACGGTAAAATATAGAAGAGTACTTTGTGACCAGATGGGCGCCGTAGAACGAGAGCACCTGCAGCAGCACCTGCTTCTCAGCTGATGCAGGTAAGCCGCACACAAACTGATGAAACACGTAGTAGATGGTACGCTACAAATAAGTCGATCTTGTGAATTGTATGCATGATAAAACTTTTGGGAAAAGAGTCTACCTCGCCGTATATGATCGAAAGCTTCTGGGCACCAAAAACTTGGATGTTGTTCCGAGTTTCAAACGCATCATTCCCAATACGCTGCTGTTTCTCCACTCGCTTCACAGTGGTCTCAAGTTGCCAGGCGGTAAGCCAGTTAAGCGCCTTTAGTAGATCTAAAAAAAGGGGGAAATGTAAGAATTTTGTGTGTAAGAGCAAAAAAAGGTTTTAATAGATTTCGGTCCGCGCTCGGATAAAGTTTTCTAGTTCAAGTGTTTCTGATGTTCTTCAAAGCTTTTCAAGTTTTTAAATAATTTTTTGCTGCTTGTACCATTTCCGGTTAACATTAATTTGTTAATTCTTTAAAACAAATTTTTTTTGTCCAGTACCTACAATGTCAGCTAGTTCGTGAACTGTAAAAGTTATTCTTGAATCTTGAATCTTGTATCTGTCAGACCCAGAACCCGAAAAGGTCTAGCTGAGCTAGTAGAGCTAATATTTATTAGAATTAGCATTGCGTTCTGAGCCGCTTACATTTGGCCATTAAAATGAGTTGAAATACCAATTTCTTAGTATAGTATAGCTTAGTTTAGATAGTTTATGGATAAGGAGAAGTAATTTCTTAGTGGTATTTTTCAAAAGTAGCCTAACATTATGTGCGATTTTACGATTACATATTTAAAATCGGATGTATTTTTGGGTCAAAATAAAACATACAAAAACTGAGATGTTAAAACCAATCCAAATTAGAAAAAAATATATTTAAAACAAAATTTGAACATAACATACATTTTGTAAGAAAGTAGAAACAAAATACTTACTATCCACGTCCATGGCTTCGGCCGACGTACGCTCCTGGCTTTTGCTTTTTAACAGGTCTTCCATATCTTTTAAAAAAGAGACTGTCCCCAACGGAGAAACGCGCACAAAGTCGGCGTTGTTGCGTCGCAGACTGATCAACCAGTTAGATGCTTGCTGAATAAGCGTGTTGTTCTCGCCCTCATAAGTGCAATTTGCATCGTTGTCGTTTCGAAGGTCCCCTAAACCAGAGGACTTCAGGTAGCCATGTCCGCCACAAGCCTCGCGACACTCCTTATGTAAAATAAATACAAACAAAAAAAATCAGAATAATTGAAAAACATGAAAGAATTATTATTGTCCAGTGTTCTGACTATCGTATACACGTTTCTTTTGTTAAGAATTTAAATGAGCGTGACAAAACCACTTTATTCTACGCGTTATCGTTCGCTAGAATCTAAATATTTAATCCCCATTTGCATGCTCTCTTGTTACTGATCGGGACAAAAAAAATCACTGACAAAGGAGACGGCCACGTTATGTTTCTGAAGTTATCTTAAAATATTTAGGGAAAGATTAAAAAACGCTAGATCCTGGCCAACTCCACTGGATTCGAAAAATATGGTTCTGGTAAGAGGAACTCGATTTTAAAAGTTGTCTACGGTACAGAGTAACCTCGAAAAGCTCTAAGCGAACCGCTGACTGCTACATAAAGACACAGATTTGGAAAACTCTTTTAGGGTCCGATAAGATCAAAAGATATCGCTAAGCGATCACCAAAACACTTATAAATCAAAAGCGGATTGACAATATAATAAAAGCACTCAGACAAAATCAAACCGGAACCTGATGAACCAGCACAGTTAATCCTTAGAAATGTTTATCCAGCGACCTGATTTCCGTTATCAGCAGAGAGAAATTTAATAGTTTGATAAAACTCACCTACCTTTTATATAAAGCAACTTAGGTACGCAGCCCAATATAAAAGCTAGCGGAAATAATCTAGCTCGTACACAAAAAGAACAACACATAATTTATGATTTTGTAGAATACAACTTTGCTATACCAATATATGTTAACTGTTTTTGAGCTTGGAATAAAAAGTTTACAAATTTTTAGCGCCGTGAACCAATTATACGAACCTACAACTCACATACATACTGACGAACAAACTGACAGATGTATAGATCGACTCGTTTGATAATCTTTAACTTTACTTTACTACTTTTTAGATGTTTCTAAGTTTACAAAAATAACGATTACTGCACGCACCAGAGCCGACGAAAAGCGTGGGTACTACAAGTAGTACTACCCATTTAAAAATTTTGAAGGTGGGTAATTACCCACCTGAAAAACAGATTTAGAATAATACACTGCCGCTCAACTGAATAGGTTCATGATCTTAGAGGAAGTAATTTGTCTATAATTCCTAAACCAGTGTACCGATTTCCATAATTTTTTTTTTCTTTAACTCTTGAATCATTTTATAATAAAATGCTGAAGAAGGTTTTTCAAAAACATATTATTTATTCCTTATTTAATTTTTCTTCTGAAAGGTTAACCAAATTCATGATTTTTTTTTGGGTCATCTGAATAGGTTCAACCTAAAACAATTAAAATTATTTAAGTAACTAAGGATAATTTTCATATTTTTTGAACTTAGCTGATACTTATGAACATTTTTAGAGTACATTTTACTAATTTTAATAAAAAGTGAACCCTCCGTTGTCCGATATAACACCATATACACGACCGGGAAGCGAGCTATACAAATTGTGCAGTATTTGCAGTGAAATGGTTGTCCAGGCTATTTTAATTGCCTTAACTACACCACACCAAAATCAATTTAATTTAGAAGCGTAAATCAATAGGTACAACTATTATTATCACGATCTTCAAAAGGAAGAGCATTTCCTTAGCCGTCGACATAGCTGTGAGGGTGGGGTAATGGTGTGGGGGTCGGTATCAGTCTTTGGCACTTGCGACCTTTAATTTGTTACTTGCAAAACGAGCGCGGAAACCTACAAATCTATCATAAAGGCTGCGTTTCCTGATTATTCAAGTACTTTTCACTTTATCAAATGGTCTTACCAGTACGATAACGCTCCCATCATACAGCTAGGGTGGTAAAAGAGTGGATTAAGGCTCAAAATGTGGACTTACTTGAATGGCCCCCATATTCACCTGACCTTAATATAATCGAAATCGTATGGGGGTTGCTATCGCGCAAGATATATGAAGGAGGCAGGTAATTTTCTTGCAAAACAACTTTAGTTAAGGCAATTAAAATAGCCTGGACAACCATTTCACTGCAAATACTGCACAATTTGTATAGCTCGCTTCCCGGTCGTGTATATGGTGTTATATCGGACAACGGAGGATTCACTTTTTATTAAAATTAGTAAAATGTGCTCTAAAAATGTTCATAAGTATCAGCTAAGTTCAAAAAATATGAAAATTATCCTTAGTTACTTAAATAATTTTAATTGTTTTAGGTTGAACCTATTCAGATGACCCAAAAAAAATCATGAATTTGGTTAACCTTTCAGAAGAAAAATTAAATAAGGAATAAATAATATGTTTTTGAAAAACCTTCTTCAGCATTTTATTATAAAATGATTCAAGAGTTAAAGAAAAAAAAAATTATGGAAATCGGTACACTGGTTTAGGAATTATAGACAAATTACTTCCTCTAAGATCATGAACCTATTCAGTTGAGCGGCAGTGTATATTATATAATCAACGCCTTTCCAGAAAATGACCCACCTGGAATCGATACGTTTTGGCGACTCTGGCACGCACAAATTATTCAAATTAATATCTCGAAAAGGGATTTTACAGGAGAAAAAATGTGTTTAGAGACATATATTGTATTTCTGTTATACATCTTATTTAATTAAAAGCTCACACTTATAGTTCGTGGCGTGTTATTACCAAAACAAAAGTGCGCATAGGCATACTAACCCCTGGTTCACCCCTTTTAGACTCCTTGTTTTTTTGAAAAAGTTGCTTAAAATCAAAACCAGAAAGGAAGTTAGCTTCGGCAAGCCGAAGCTTATATACCCTTGCAATCATCACATATGTCGAAAATAATACATAAAGGCTAAACAACATCGAAAATATGTCGAATTTTGTATTAACTTTGTTGGAGTCATTAAAAAGCTATATGTTCCAAAAATCATGCTTGTTTGATGAAAAACAACGATGTTAAAATTATTTTTCTTGATTAAAGGATAATTAAATAACTCGATGTTCTAAAAATCATGCACGTGGGATAAAAAACAACGCCTAACATTTGCAATTATTTATAAATGTATATATTTTTCGATCTTTCCTATATGATCTAGCTATATGATCTAGATATCCGATTTTGATAAAATTTAATTCGAAATTCAAAAGTAGTTAAAAACACCATCTGGAAGAAATCAAGTCGACATGATCAATCTCTCGGGAGCTATCCGATATAGTAGCCCGAACCGGCCCGTTCCGAAAATGCAATAACAACACAACTTTTGGGAACGTTTTAGCAAAATAGCTTTAAAACTGAGAGACTAGTTTACATAGAAACAGACGGACGGACAGATGGACGAACAGACACCCACGTAATGCTAATCAAGAATATATATACTTTATGAGGTCTGAGGTGTCTCCTTCACTGCGTTGCAGACTTCTGACTGAAATTATAATACCCTCTGCAAGGGTATAATGATAATAAAGAAAATAACAACTATACCTGTATTCCGTCCCTGGCCGCCCAAGTGGCGACGGGCTTAAGAGCCGACGAAATCGCGTGTATCTCCATGCCAGCTTGGGAAGTGTCTTCGCCAGTAAAGCCCTTCATGGTCAAATCTACGTTCTCTTTGCCTATCCAGAGAGTGACAACACGCATTGCGATCGTGGTGGCCAAGTGGGGAATAAGCCGGTATTGCTGTGACTGGTACTCGATCACAGGCCACTCCGCCGGGCTATTCGTTGGGCCAAACTGCCGCCTACTAGCCCCATAACGGGTTGCTATAGTGACTGCCTTACTCAACGCCACGTAGGTGATAGCAGTGATGTTGACGCGACCCACTGAGAGTGCGCCCAAGGAAGCGCCAAGTCGCTTCCGCTCATCCTTAATTTGGCTGGTGTAATTTCCCTGTGCATCAATGTCTCCGGTTTTAGACAGCAAATTCGCTTTTGGTATACGATACTGGTTAAACATTACAAAGCTGCCAAATTAAGAATATAAAATATTGGAGCTGTTAAAACAAAAATTTTACAGTTGTCAAAGAAAATATACTTGCCCGTTGTCAATGCCGTTAAGACCGATCTTTTCGCCCATATCGCCGACCGTGACTCCAGGGAACGGCAGCAGGGTACGTTCATCCCGGATCGGAACAAGGAATGCCTGCAGGCCTTGGTGCTTGTCATCAGGAACAAAGAGCTGTGCGTAGACAATGGCGTGGGTGCAGGTTTTTCCAAGGTTGCCCACCCAGCATTTGGCCGCCTCGAAGTCCGGCGTATGGATAATAAACTCCTGTCTTTTTATGTCGTAAGTGGCCCGGGTGCGCATGCCAAGTGCATTTGTTCCGTGAGAGATCTCAGTGAGGGCGTATGCTCCGAGGATTCGGTTGTCGGCGATTTTAGCCACATATTTTCCAAGGCGGCCAGATCCGTTGGACACCAAGGTACTGGGAAACATGCCCGTTGAAAGGCCGAACTTCACTGAGGTGCTGAAGTCGTAGCTGAAAATGGCCTGACCAAAAGCCAGTAGCAGATGCGGGGTTCCCAGGTACTAAATGCAAAACAGGACTATTAAACAATCAAACAAACCCATCAGCTGTATTACCAGCATCTTCCCATCTCACCTCATTGACGCCGTAGAATTGTTGCTCCCACAGAAGATGCTGCCGTTTGTTGGCCATCTCGCGGATGCGTTCCAGACTTGAGACCTCTGGTTCTCGCTGATAGTCGGGGTGCTGCTCCATCCACTGCCACACCTTATGCTAAAGTCGGAGGGGCATGTAAACGGGTTAGTCAAAACACAGATAAGGAGTTCTGAGCGATTTAAGGGCCCTGCGAGCAGTGTTCTGAACTTTGATCCCAACTTCCATTTCTTGGCGATTACCTTCATGCGGATGTGCTCCTCGCCCTCGAGCAGCACGTTCATGCGCTTGTAGCAGAAGCTCGCGCGCTGTCGGTACTCGTCCAAAGGTCCTCCACGGAACTCGGGAAAGATCCGCTTATCATCGAGAATGTTGGCCGTGACCTTCTCCTCCCGGCCGCCGCTGTAATAGTCGCCCAAAGCGTTTAGTATTTGATCAAGACCGTTTTGGCCCCTTTTGCTGCCCTCTCCAACCGTCATCGTGTTGGCTACTAGTTGTTGGTGGAAATGGGGACAAAGGGGAAGAAGTACTTACAGTGTGGTCAATGCAACCATGTTTAAATTCGATTCTGTCGACGAATGTTGCTGTTTCAAACGCCAGGCGCGAACTGTTTAAAAGTCCAGCCACTCCCAATTATTATTAAGTAAATAGCCAATGTCCAAAACCCAGCGATAAGTAACCCGCTTATCCTATCTTCATGGTCAGCACAAATTCGGCTCTTAGCGGCTTGCATCCGCCTTGGATAAGATACGAGCCTTAGGTAAGTGGAGGCGAAATTCCATTTCGCTGGACGTGCTTGTTCGCTTATCTGCGAATTGCAGGCCTACTTAGCCAATAACATAACATTTTTTAAATTTCCTATCCACGCAAACAGTTAAACATAAACATTATTAGTCTAGTTTCGCACCGTTTGTGCTAGACAGGGCTGCATAATCCCGAGAGATTCTCATCGATAACAGTGGAAATACTGGTACTTCGAGGAAATGTTTTTTCACAAGATTTATTATTATTTATAAATAATTGAGCTTAACGCCCAATTTTAATTTTTTATTAAAATTGGTAGTAAAAATTGCATTTAAATACTGAAAGAGGAAGATTTTAATACGACAAACCAATGGTGCCAAGCGGCTATACGGGCGATACCGAGTTGAGCAAAAAGCCGATTACGGTAAAAATAAAAATTCCGAGTTGAGCAGAAACGTTTTTGGACATAAAAAAATAAATGTCCGAGTTGAGCAGAAACGATTTTTGTACATAAAAAATGAACATCCGAGTTGAGCAGAAACGATTTTTGAACATAAAAAATAAACGTCTGAGTTGAGCAAAAAGCCGATTACGGTAAAAAAAAAAATATAAACATCCGAGTTGAGCATGAACACTTTTTCCACATAAAAAATCAATGTCAGAGATGCCACGAAAACATTATTAATTTAATAATTAAATTTTTCAAAAAAAAAATGTTATTTTTTCAGTTTTTAGTTTAGTTTTTTTTTTTTAGAAAAATAACTTAATAATAATTTTGACGCATCTCTGACATTGATTTTGCCCAACTCGGATGTTTTTTTTTTACCGTTATCGGTTTTGTGCTCAACTCGGACGTTCATTTTTTATGTTCAAAAATCGTTTTGTGCAATATTATAACTGAAAGCCCTATAGTTCCGATAAAAATTAAGTTTCAATTTTATCGTATATTACAATGTGCGCGCGAAATTATCGTATGTCCATACAAATTTTTTTTCAATTGCATGGAATGACTGCAATCGCACAAAAATACCGATATACAAAAATAAAGAAAAAGCTTCTTCTGTAAAATTTGATTTTTCTACATACGATACATTCGCGGAAATGCGTCGATATCAGGGGCGTAGCTAGATCATACAGATTCCATAGGAAAGATCAAATATATATACATATATGTATGTATAAATAAATGAACAAATGATAACGTTATAGTTTGTATTCCCACGAGCATTTATAAAATGTGAAGTTTTTAATAGCTTTTGAATCGAGAGAAAAATTTCATAAAAATCAACGTTATCATATATGTATGTACATAGCTGCCATAGAAAAGATCGAAAAATCGGGTCATTTTAGTTACCGGGGCGCCAAGATTTGATGACATATTTATATTAATTAGCCCAAATTAAACACTTTTTATTAAATAAATTAATTCGCATTATAGTGCCCGCGTTACGCGTCATATTGCACATATTTTTAGCGGAACTTGCGATATTCGCGAAATAGGGCCCTCCTCCTCAGTTTTTAGTTCAGTTTTTTTTTAGAAAAATTACCTTAGTTAATTATATATTTAATGATTTGATTTTTTTTTACCAATTTTATAAAAAAAAATATTTGAGTAATGATTTCAGTTTTTGATTTAGATTTTTTTTTTTTTTTGGTAAAATTGCGCTTTAGCGGCTTTTGCTAAAAATGGTCTAGGAATTTTTTTTTTTTTTAAAGGATACCTTGGGGCCTAAACATTAATAAAAAAGTGGCGGAAAGCTTGATTTTTAAATTTTTATTTGTAAAAATAGCAAAAAAAGCAACTGGCCATAGCTTTTCTGGGTATTCATTCACTCAGTACTATAAAATTACTCTGTGTCATTTCGCAACCTTGGCAGTGCCTGACATGTTAAAATTGTTTAATTTCTTTTGTTTTTAAATTTTAAAACAATTGCAGCACTCTTTATCCACAACACATTCTCAACGGTAAAGTTTTTCGCTAGAAAAAGATGGCAATGTTCTAAAACGGGTTGTCTCGCGGCAGTAATAATTGCTATTTTAACACATAAATAATTAAAATTTACGCTTTCCGCCACTTTTTTATTGTTGCTTAGGCCCCAAGGTATCCATAAAAAAAAAAAAATCCCAGACCATTTTTAGCAAAAGCCGCTAAAGCGCAATTTTACCTTATTTTTAATTTTTTTTACAAAAAAAAAAAAAAAAAATTACAGTATTTTCCAAAAAAATTTTTTTGGTATTTTATTCCCTCGTTGACTGTCCGCCGTGACGTGTAACGGCCGCACCAGAATCCAACATTTAAGGCTCGAGAAATTGTATTTAATAAAAAGGGCTCATTTTGTGTCAAATTACAAAAATATGTCCTTAAATCTTGGCGCCCCGGTAACTTAAATCGTGCCGAAAAATCTATGTATGTACATATATAGAATTAACGAAAACAAAATGATAGCACAGCTGTTATAAATAAGACAATCATGATTTTTGGAATATAGACTTTTTAAAGACTCTTGAATTTCGAATTAAATTTCATCAAAATCAGACGACTATACCATATAGCTGTCATATAAACAAAAGTCCAAAATATGGAAAATTAATAGAAAAATCGTGGGGTCTGTCTCACTGTGTCACAGACTTCCGACTGCAAGAGTATGAAAACAAAGAAGTTAAAATTTTACCCCTTTCTTATTGTATCCAGGAACATGAGGATGAGGGTTTTCAACTAAAATTAAAAACACCAAATTGTGTTCTAATCGGTTTTATTTGAGATTTCATTTTTTATACATCTTACACACTTAGTCAACACGCATTCTTCTTCGTCGTTTTTGGCTCCAATTCGTGGATAATAATATTATAAGCTACTAATGTAAAACATGTGATTTAACAGCTAATTTCCAGTTTGAACTAAAATGTCTTATACTTGTACATAAGTTTAGGTTCAATTTTAAGAATTAAACCATTCTTTTTTTTGGCAATTTTCCTAAAATTGAACTAATTAGGTACTATGTATTAATTTATTCTTGTTCTTAGTTCATGTTAATTGGCTGCATTCTTAAGAATTATTTAAACATGTATGGTAAAGATAATTGATGGTTATAAATAAAAATTTAGGGATGTTTAAATTTTATTCGTCACGAAGTTAAGTCCGTTGAATTTTCTAGTTTACTATTATATGTACATACATTTGTTTTGAATAAATATAATCAAGTTATTACAACTTAACGGTCAAGATTTTCCTAATATAAAAATATTGGTAGCTAATATCTAAGTATAATCATAAGTGATTACCATTTTTGGTCTTAAAAATATTTATACATCCGAGTTTTAGAAAATATTGAGGCTTTTCTCCATTATCGTGGCCTTTAATAAATCTTCTTCCATCACTTCTATCGTCTCTTCTAAAGGCGGAGAACACCGTTCGGCATCCTTCGTGCCGAACTCCCCGTTTGATTGGTATCATCGACTCTGAACCGAACTAGCCGCAGAGGAGTTCGAGGAGAATGCCGACTGAAGACTGGTCATGGAGCCCTTGTAATTAGCCGAGCTGAGCACTTCGTAGAATACGTTTAACTGGGACCCTGAAGGACTAAACCAGTGCATTAAATAGTTATCGTTGTGGTGCATCACGTGCGAGCCCTGAACGCTCTCCTTGTGCCGGCAAATGAGGGTGGGTTCCTCCCGAAAGCAGGTCACACCTTCAACGAAGTCCTGCAGGTCAAAGTACGAAACCGCAGAATCTTTGGGGAAAACAAAAAAGGTCAATTAACTTTTTTTTTTAGCTTTTGTAGGAATCTTTAGCCCAAAATAATTTTTTTTTGCATTAGAAACTTTTGGCTGAAACAATAAAAACGTCGACGAATGCACAAAGAATGGTTGTTTTGTAATGGACGTCTAAAATTTTATACTAGCTTTCGTTGCATGTCAAAGCACCGAGCATAACGTTTTGTGGGCGATGTCATTCTATACTTTGACTCATTGATCCTGAACCACCTGTTGCATAAAATCTTGTTTGAAATACATGTACAACAACTTAGTTATAACATTTTAATGCCAACTATTTTATTAAAGTCGTTCGATCCCAGCCGTTCTGACCTATATTTTACTTGCCATACCCACAAGACTTATGATATATTTTCAGCGGGGTTGTTTTAGACTAGTTCGAGTAAAAACAGACAAGGCGATTTTGAGTGTTGACTCTGCCGTGTCGGAAGAGTCTCCAAAACATCTGAAATAAAAGTACCCTATGCAACGATTTAAAGTAACTTTGTTTTCAGAGTCGTATTTAAATTTAAAAAATAAGTATAAAAAGTGATTTAAAAAAAAAACACTTTTCCAGATTTGTGAAGTTTCGAAGTGTATTAGCCTTTTTTTCCTTCTGCAAGTTCTACTTATGTTTTCAAATTCTCACCATTCTTATCCGGTAGCTCCATTGTGACCCGGTAAAGCGTAAAGTGCAGGTCGTTTCGCGTGACATCAAAGTCCCACGTAAGAACGCTCTTGGGATCTTCGTTTCGAATAAGCAACTCGTGCGTAAATCCCGCCTTAAGCTCAACGCACTTGTACATGTTGTGATGGTCGTGGTGGTGGAGGGCAGTAAGACGAGTACTTGGAGCCATAGCTTCAGAATTTGAGGGCAGCTCGACAGCCACTTCATGATCATCCAGCGAGTTCATTTTATATAGTGTCTTGGGAACCAGTCCGCCCTCGTGAATCATGTTCTTTTAGAAAAAAGATAATTATGTTAAAAAAAAAATTTCTGGTGAAGAGGACTTTAGGCTATGACTGATCACAAGTATGACAGCCTCTGAGTGATCAAGGCTCAGGGGATTTGGACATGGACATGGAGAAAATATTACTGCAATAATTCCATGGCTGCGTACGCTTCACAAAAAAAAATCGCAAACAAAAAACCAGAGTGTAAGACAAAGGCGTACGAGTGTTTTTCGTTATGGACAATGACAAACGAAACTAAAAGAAGAAGTAAACGACAAAGTAGGATGCTTACACAATTGCACTTGGCTAAATAACAATGGTAAAAGTATTTTTGACTGACTTGCTCCACATGTGGAAGGGGTTGGTTTTCTACCTGAGCAGCCCCAGTAATCCGTATTCAAAGCCGGAACCAGAGGGGAAAAAGATGTCAAACACAGATACAATAATAACAAAATATAGTACGTATCTACGGATGCAGCAATAATGGATTCCCAACCAAAGCCGCGCCACCGAAGCCGTGGCTACTGTCTGCTTGCTTACCTTGCAGGGTCCCCCTAGGAAGTCGGGCACTATGTCCTCATCTAAGTACTGTGCTGGACCATCCTTCATATTTGCACAGTCGGAGCCGTAGAACAAGAACTTGGATCGCGTGTGCTCATCTAAAAATTGTCAAGAAATTATTAAAAGATTAAACCAAGTAAATATGTATATGTATTAGGGTGCCCCATCCAATAAGGGCGAATTTTTTTTTTCGATTTTGAAAACGCATACCCTCTATATTTCTTCTAATTGATCTTAAGAACCTAAATGTTAAATATTATCGAAATCGGATAACGGTAACCCGTGCCGACTTGAGGCCAAACATTTAAGAAAACAAGAAAGGAAGCTAGCTTCGGCAAGCCGAAGCTTATATACCCTTGCAGTCATCAAATATTTCGAACAGAATACACAAAGGTTAAACAACATCGAAGCTACGACGACTTTTCTATTAATTTTCCATATTTTTGGCTATTATATGTTATATGGCATCTATATGATATAGTCGTCCGATTTTGATGAAATTAATTTGTTATTCAAGAGTCTTTAGAAAACTCTATATTCCAAAAATCATTATTTTCTGAAGAGAAATAACGATGTTATAATTTTATTTCCGTTAATTCTATATAGATTTTTCGATCTTTCCTATAGCAGCTACATATATGATATAGTTGTCCGATTTTTATGAAATTTTTTAATAAATCAAGGCTAGTTAAAAAACTTGATACTCAAAAAATCATAGTCGTGTGATGAAAAACAATGACGTTATCAATTAATTTCCATTAATTCTAGTAATTTGGTGTTTAGCATCGCCTATTAAAAATATGCCTTTTCTAGAACTGCGTAATTCCACTGACATCTCGACTGAATGAAAACAATGCGTTCACAAAGAACAAAAAACAATAATGACCAAACACCGATAAGATATTCGCGCGCGCCAAAGTTAACAAGTACTGACATGTACATATTAATGCAAGTCGGCACAGGTTGCTATGGTCCTAGGTACATGAAAATTTATTTACATGCATTTTAATAAGATACAAAAATAATTAGAGGGTATGCATTAAAAAAAAAACAACTTTTATTTTTTTGGGACACCCTAATATGTATAGCTCACCAATAAAAGCGCCAACGATAGTCCAGGCTATGGGAAAAACCCTGGGTGCCCGCACCACTAAGACACGTCCCATTGTCTCTGGATAATTGCGTTCTACAGTTTCGATAATAAACAATAGGGCTTTAATGCCTGGGCGCCACAGATGACGCATAGAAAGGCCTTCCAAGTCTACGAGCAAGGACCAGTTCAGCACAGGCTTCTCCAGTCGGTCAGAGGCTTCATTGATTTTTTGAATACCCTCTTCACAGATGTGGAGAGCCTTGATATAAGTAACATTTCAATCAATAAGGGGTATTGTGGCCGTCTGGGAGTACGTTCTTACCAATCTTAGTAGGCCTTCCATTCCTAAAGACTTTAGCAGGCCTTTGACATCCATGTGTCCGAGTCGCAAAATGTAGAGGGGCCGGCCGTCCTTGTCGTGGTGGTGCCAGCCACCCGGAAAGTGCTCCACTACCACGGCAGGTTTGACGTACTCGGTTAGCAAAGCATCTATACGGTGTTCCCGACGCCAACGAAGCGAGTCACACAGCATTGCGAACGCCTGGTTTACGTGCCAGTCCCTAGCAGCTAGGAAACGCATTATGGTCTGATAACTGGGAATGGGTCCCAGGCCATCGACACCATCTAGCATTTTTCGCAGCTCCAGCAGTTTAGACTCTTGCATGGGGGACAACTGGCCGAGGCTACGCGCGATAAAATCGCCATCGAGCAGTATATTATGGTGTTGATCTCGAGCTGCGACCGGAGACGGGGATTTAGGGGCGTCAGGCGGTGAAGTCCAACGATCCACGTGCGTAATGCCTTCTTCACGCAACTGATTGATAAAGAACTCAATAATTTCCTTGCCCTTAAGCGTCGTCTGGGTGTACTGCTTCATGCCCATCTTCTCCATTGAATGTTCAAATCCGAAAAAGTTCTTGATGTCCAGCGTTGCCGACTGGTCAAAACACGTCCATTCGGAGTTGTCTGGGTGCGCGTAATAACGGCACCGCTCAAAAATCTCAATGCGTGAAGAGAAGCTTTCATTGACCGCCTCGATGCTTAGCGTACGCTGTTCCATGTCTAGGTAGTTGTGCTGCTGGAAAAACACGTAGTCCACACCAATAAGCTTCTTAAAGATGTAGGGAGCGTCAACTGCCAACTTGCAGCGTCGGCTTGTGTTCCGTCTCGAACCGTTTTCAAGGGTTTCGTCCTTAATGACTTCACAGTCCAGCACGATCGGCATCTGAGGGCATGTGGGAAAGCGACGCTCGTAAGCCTGTAAAAGTAACATTGAACTTAATTATTATCCTTTAGCAGAATTAAGTGTTTTTAATTCCTTGGCATCAAGCAAAAATTGTTAAATCATAACAAAAAAAAATGTTTGGCCTTGTTGGTAAAAATGTTTTTGTTAAACATTAAAGTCAATTTAACTAGAAAACAGGGATGTATTAAAAATACGTTTAGTTGAGAAACCGTAGTGATGATTGCAAGGGATCAATACTATATGATCAAGGGATTAGATCACTCAAAACAATTTTAATAGAAGTGACAACACTTTCAAGATCTTGACGTCCATTCAGAAAGCAGTACCTAATCCCTCTAGGGGCTGGTAAGCGTAAATGGAAAACTTTATTTATTTATCTTTGGAATCCAAATCAAACCAATACGCTGTACAATCGAATGGCTGCCACAGAATTTCACAAACATTGCACAAACATTTAAAAAGCAAGAAAAGGAAGCTAGCCTCGGCGGGCCGAGCTTATATACTTTTGCAGTCATCACAAATGTTGAGCAAAATGCATAAAGATTAAACAACATCGATGTTATGACGATTGTTATTCCCTGCAGAGGGTATTATAATTTCAGTCAGAAGTTTGCAATGCAGCGAAGGAGACTTCTCAGACCTCATAAAGTATTCATATTCTTGATCAGCATCACGATCTGAATTTTGTAAAAACCCCAAAAATAAATTATAGCCTATGTTACTCCCCGATAATGTAGCTTTCTATCGGTGGAAGAATTTTTTTAATCGGACCAGTAGTTCTTGGGAAAACACCATCTGGAAGAAATGCCAATAAGATAAAAAACAGCGGTGTAATAATTTGTTTCCCGTTGTTTTTCGACATATTAGAACTATCCGATAAAGTCCTCTTATTCGGACCCTCGCGACTAATGTGTGAAATAATAGAGCGATTCAGATGGTGATGCCAAAAATGTATATGCGGTCTGAGGTGTCTCCTTTACTGCGTTCCAAACTTCTGACTGAAATTATAATACCCTCTGCAAGGGTATACAAATGAGCTAAATAAGAATGAAAAGAATCAACATTTCAATATGCTTCGAAACGTTACTTTTCAAGAAAGATATTATACAAAAATTTTTAGCTCTGTTATTTTTACCATTGATATTTGCTCTTTTATACCTTGTTTTTAAACGATTGAGGTTTAACGATTAGTTATTGCAAAATGTTTGCATTGTGTATGATCTCTATGAGGACAAAAATGTTGGTTTGAGACACTCGTCGTATAATTAAGAGTGAGACTAGGAAAAATCTCATATTATAGCACATATCATGTATTTATCATGTATTTACCATGACATTGTTAATGCTATAAAGGTCGTTTATCATGTGGATATTCACATGTTAAATAATTAAGCTTACCGTGGGAACCAATATGTGCCGATTCTTAACTGGGACGAACATGTTTTAAACTGTGCACCTTTTTTTAAAAAACCCTAACAAAGACTTTTAGCCTTGGACTTTTTAATTATTTAGTTAAATATTTATGACGACGACGTTACAACTTTCAAAAGCTAGTTTTGCCTTTTGAGGAACGCAAGAACAAACAAGAAAGGGAGCTAGCTTCGGCGAGCTTTGCAGTCATCAAAATGTTGAAAAAAAATACATTTCATTTTCTATATGGATTTTTAGATCTTTCCTTAGGCAGCTATATGATATAATTGTCCGATTTCTTTGCATTTTTTTTCCCGATTCAAACGTAAATAGTTAAAAACTCGACGTTCAAAAAATCATGCTCGTGTGACAAAAAACATCAAGAAATCAAGTCGATATGTACAAAAACAACGGCGTAATGATTTTTTTTTTCAATCTCTTATATGGGACCTATCCGGTACAATTCCGATCCGGCCCGTTCCGACCTACATATAATAACTACATAACTTCTGGAGAAGTTTCAGCAAGATAGCAGTAGAACTGAGAGACTCGTTTACATAGATAAGGGCAGACGGACAGACGTACAGAAGTACAAACGGAGTGTTTAATTAAAGGTGTTTCCTAACACCAAAGACAGCTCAATCTACAGCCATGGACAGATAAATATCACAAATCAGACAAAGAGAAGAAATGTCAAATATGTTATCGAAAACTAAGTCTATCAGGATAAAGGATAAAGTGATTCTATAATATATTAGTGATTCCATATATAAAGTGATTTTATTATTAGATTATCTAATTACTAAACAATGGTAACTTATTAAACGATCGAACAATGTTTATTGTTATTTTTGTATGAGGGCCGCCAAATCGGATGGAAACATAATAGCACATTTAAAAAAAATGTTTTTTAGAAACTGCAGGTCTTTAGACAGGCATCCTCGGAGATAGATTTACGAAGTCCTTGGATTCCTGCACACAAATCATCCAAATTTAAAAGTTTCTCATTAGTAATTCGAAATCTTTCTGTATTGCAGAGGTTTGATATGGTATTCAGGTTCGATCTTTTGGTTGGGATTGGACAATCCAAAATATCAATTTTTCGTTCTGCAGCCATTTCTTAACGACTCCAGCAGTGTCCTTTGTGTCGTTAAATTGCATTAAAGTCCTTATACCGGCATATTTTTAATAGCAAATGGCTCCATTTCCTTCTGCAGGTTATCCAAGTTCTGTAATCGATCCATTAAGCCGTTGGCTCGGACTATTGGTACAACGCCAGGTCAGAAAAAACCAAACCATCTTTTTTCCTTCTGCATGTTTGATGGCTTTGGTAGTACATCTGTGGTTCAGGACTTTAGGGCGACTAATAATAGTTTTGTCATTAAGTTCTATCCTATTTATACTAGTTTTATCGGTTCCAAGTTCTTTTTCCAAAACCTCAATGACTTGTTCCTGTGCGCCATAGCAAAAGTTTAGATTTTTTCGATGTGGCGCTTTGTCAAGTATGGCGTTTTTTTTCCGATGCGTCAAAAACGTGAAACTTTGTTATCCAGTTATCTGAACACATTGAGGATGTATTATAAAAAGTAAAAATAGATCACGTTTTCTCTTCCGCACTGTGAGTCATACGGTGTGTTCGATCGCTTTTCGAGGTAATTTTTCCAAAATTGTTTTTTAATCGTATAATAATTACTTTTAAATTAGAAAGGAATTTAATGACATTTATAACAATTTATTCAGATCATTTCTAAATTTCTGAAATTTTAGCAACGGTTTGGCCGGATTCACTAAGTTTATTAATAAAGGTCTTTTTTATACCCTTCCAGAGTAAAGGGTATTATAATTTCAGTCATAAGTTTGCAACGCAGTTAAAGAGACACCTCAGACCCCATAAAGTATATATATTCTTGATTAGCATCACGATCTGAATTGAAATACGTCCGTACGTCTGTCTGTTTCTATGTAAAAATTAAAACCGATTGAAATGGAATTCACAAACGCAGAAATTCGGGCAATTTTGGAATTTTATTTCGCACAGGTTCGCAGACAGATTTTTGCTGTCTTTGGAGATAACAAACTTTCGATTCAAACCGCCGAACAGTGGTTTAGGCGATTCCGAAGTGGCAATTTTGATACCGAAACACCAAAGCCTTCCGGACGACCAGTGACCGTTGATACGAATAAAATCATGGAAATAGTGGATCGAGATCGTAATGTGACTATTAGAACCATCGCAGAGGAGCTCCAACTAAGCACGGAAACCGTCCATAGGCATTTCAAGTCGAAAAATTTAACAAAAAAGCTCGATGTATGGGTGCCTCATGAGTTATCCAAAAAAAACCTTTTCGACCGTGTATCGACTAATTTCTGGATTGGTTAGTCACTGGTGATGAAAAATGGATCACATATGACAACATAAAGCATAAAAAGATCCTGGTTGAAGCACGGTGAGTCGTCTCAAACGGTGGCAAAGCCAGGACTGACGGCTCAGAAGGTGTTGCTGAGTGTATGGTGGGATATCAGAGGAATTATCCATTATGAAGTGTTGCCCTATGGCCAAACCATCAATTCTGACCGGTCTGAAGCGGCCAGCCATGGTAAATCGTAAGGGCGTTGTGTTCCATCATGACAACGCCAGGTTATTTAGATTCTTCGCCTAAAATTTGCCAACGACTACTTTTGCAAGAATTTAGCTTTTTGGAACACCCTAATTTTAAAGACGAGTCCAAACTTAATATTTCCGGGTCTTTTGGAGCCAGACATGTTTAGCGTAAGTCTAAGACAGAGCTCCAAAGCAAGAATCTAAATACTACAGTTAAGCATGGCTGCGGTAGATTCATGGTATGGGCCTGTATGTCGGCAGCTGGCGTCGGAAGACTGCACTTTATAAAGTCTACGATTTACAAGGTTCACTATCTTGAAATTTGGAAAGCCAATTTTGTTCAAAATGCGGTAGAACTTGGAAATCGGGAGGATTTTCGATTCTACCAAGACAATGACCCAAACCACAAATCGGATATTGTTCAGTCTTGGCTGATTTGGAATTGCCTACATGTGATGGAACCCCCGCCTAGGCATCAGACATAAACGTAATGAAAAATTTCTGGGCAATTCCCTACCAAAATATCAAAAAAAGCCAGTTTTCTAACAAATCTGCTCTAAAAAACGGTATGGTGACAGAGTGAGGAAAAATAGTCCTATTGGGGAGAAAAAGCTGGTGGAATCGATGTCAAAACGGCTTAAAATGTTCATTGACAACAATGGTGGCCAAAACAAGTATTAATTTTTCTTGTTTTTTCATTAAAGTCAGTTAAAAAATATATTTTCCTAGCTGGTTGAAATAAGCTGCTGCAGTATTTTAAGCAGTATTTTTGTTTGAAAATTTTTATTAAATATTTAAAAAATGCTAAAAAAAAATGTTAACAATTATGTTAACTTTAAGTCTCACACTACAAATCCCCATTTGAATTTTTATATTTGCTCTCATGGTTTGCTAGATATATGGCTTTAAAGTTTTTTTGAGGTGCTGGTTGAAATGGCACGATTTTAGTTTCCGGGGCGCCAAGATTTGAGGACATATTTTGGGTAATTGGCCCAAAATAAACACTTTTTAATAAACAAAATTTTTTGATATCTCGCACCGTTTACGAGATATCGAGCCTTAAATATCGGCTTGTAGTGCGGCCGTTACACTGGGGAAAAATTTTTTTAAAGAAATTATCTCAAAAATAAATATAGCATATGTATCAATGCATAAGTGCGCGCGCACTTATGCATTGATACATATGCTATATTATTTTTTGAGGCAATTGTTATAAAAAAAAACTAAGCTAAAAACTGAACAAATAAATTTAAGTGTTCGTCTTCGACCGAAAGTACCGCAAATCTTGAAAGTTCCACGAAAAATACGTGCAATAAGTAATTTCGCCTGCTACCAGCCCTCACTATAATCCGAAATTTAGGGCTCGATATCTCGTAAACGGTGCGAGAAATCGAAAAATTTTATTTATTAAAAAGTGTTTATTTTGGGCCAATTACCCAAAATATGTCCTCAAATCTTGGCGCCCCGGAAACTAAAATCTCCCCGTTGAAATAAGCTGCGAGCCACTGTACATACTTTATGGGGTTTGAGGTGTCTCCTTCACTGCGTTGCAAACTTCTGACTGAAATTATAATACCCTTTTGCTCTGCAAGGGTATAAAAAAAAACAGTTATATACTGAATTGCAACTTTTTGCTATACAAATTTAATTTTTGTACCCTGTTGTGCGACTTTTCCACTTGTAGTTGTACAAAAGGGTCATTATTGTTTATTTCCTGTCTCAATTGTCACAATTGTTTGTCTGGATCAATAGGAAACATCAATTCAACAACGAAATGATGGAGGTTTAAACCCTTCCACATAAAAAAAAGGTTTAAAAAAAAAAAAGATATACCAGCAGCAAAGAGAACGGCTTTATTTGAAAAAATTCATTGTACTTATGTATATGTAAATTTGTATATTTTGTAATCACAGATAATCTACTTTCCAACATATATAAACTTTATTATTACCTAATACTGAGTAATTACCATTTGGCTATAGTCCCGGCAAACTTATTTTAAATAATGATATGCGTATAAAAAAAATAAATCAAATTAAGACTGACACCTAATTTTTGTACTTTGTTAAATTATTTGGATTTTTTATTCCCTCCCGCTCTTGTTTCTCTTTCGCTTCAGTTTCTCTTAAATCGACGTATGTATGTATAAAATGTAAAAGAGGAACTTGGCCGCTCAAGGTTAATTTTATTTATCTTTGTAAGGAGAGATACAGACTAAACGAAAACGAATAACAACAAAACAACAGTTCTAAATAAATGGTTTTTGTTGTTTGAAACTTATTAATTGATAGTAAATTGGTTTGCACACATACATATGCATACATACAAATAACTAGGCAAACATACAGGTAGAGCAAGGACACGCCTACGCCTCCACCAAATATAGAGGAAAAACTGCAAAATATTATACATGTGTATGAACATACATACCATCATTACCAGCTCGAAGGGATATTTGTAGACGCGAACGGGGGATTGAAACTTTTGCACCATCTTGTTGCTATTGTTGATGGATAATTGGCTGTTTGCTACTGGCACTGACAAAATCTGCACTTGATAAAAATCAATTAGTTACTATTGCCTTTTAGATGGCGTGCAAAGGAGTCAACGGATTTCGATCAAAATATCTAGATAGGATTTTATTGGTTCGTGACAGTTCACACCAGTGTCATTTGTTTTATATGTATATATTTGTTATCCTCAGCCCATTTGGTGTTAAAAACTGCAGCTGGCCGTGGAGTGTATAGAGAAAGCCTTTCTCTCAGTTTAAGTGACGGACTCCGGTAGTGTGACCGCCTCCGTGGTTGGAAATTAAGCACAAACTTATACCGATATTTTCACAGCTTCACATTGTGTACTATGCGATAGTTGGGCATTACCTCTTTTTAGAAAGTCTTAAAAAATCCTTGCGTCAAATTAACTTAAAACTTAAATGTGATAATTGAGAAATTATTATAATTTCTGTCAGAAGTTTGCAACGCAGGGCAGGAGGCACCTCAGACCCCATAAAGTATATATATTCTTAATCAGCATCACGATCTGAATCGAAATCCGTCTGTACGTCTGTCCGTCGGTCCGTCTGTCTGTTTCTATGTAAACTTGTCTCTCAGTTTTGAAGCTAACTTGCTGCAGTATAACTTGCTTGCAGTATATATGTAAGTCGGAACGAGGCGGATCGGCCGACTATATCGGATAGCTCCCATACGAGAGAATGAAACAAAAATTCTCATTCCGTTGTTTTTGATCAGATCGACTTGAATTCTTCCAGATGGCGTTTTCTATTGAATTGATTTTTAAAATATAGAGTGTTTTATTAACCCTTGAATTGAGAAAAAAAAATTCAATAAAATCCAACAACGTTATCATATAGCTGCCATCAAAAAGATCGAAAAATCTATATATGTATGTAGAAATAACGGAAATAAAATTATAACATCGTTGTTTTTCATCAGACAAGCATGCTTTTTGAAATATAGAGTTTTCTAACGTCTCTTGAATTACGAATGTCATATGCACAATAGTTGACAATAAATAGAAAAATCGTCATAGCTTCGATGTTGTTTAGCCTTATTGTATTTTGTTCGACATATTTGATGACTGCAAGGGTATATAAGCTTTCTTTCTTGTTTATCATAAGTTTTGTTTTCCGTTCTAGTATTGAGTACCAGAGGGCGATACCGAATTGCGCAAAAAGCCGAATAAGGTAAAAAAAAAACATCTGAATTGCGCGAAAACTCTTTTTGTACATAAAAAAATGAATGTCCAAACTGCGCGAAAACGCTTTTTGTACATTCAAATTTATGTCCGAACTACGCGAAAAGCCTATTACGGTAAAAAAAAATCATCCGAATCGCGCGAAAACGCTTACTTGGTCAAAATAATTAGTTAGTTGTTCATCAACATTTGTATATTATTATATTATATTCTATATAATATAAGTTTATTTTTTCAGTTTTTAGTTTAGTTTTTTTAGAAAAAAAAATTAAAAAAATAAGTACGCGCGCACTTTTGCATTGATACAAATGCTATATGATTTTTCTAAACAAAAGGTTATTTTTTTTAGTTTTTAGTTTAGTTCTTTTTGTGCGTGCGCACTTATGCATTGATACATATGCTATATGATTAAGTAATTTTTCTAAAAAAAAAGGTTATTTTTTCAGTTTTTAGTTGAATATACATATTTTTAAAGAAAAATTTTACAGTAATTTTTCCAAAAAAAGATCTTGGCTTTATTTTTATTAAATTGCAAAATGCGTTTTTGCGCAACTCGGATGTCTTATTATACCCTTGCAGAGCAAAGGATATTATAATTTCAGTCAGAAGTTTGCAACGCAGTGAAGGAGACACCTCAGACCCTTTAAAGAATATATATTCTTGATCAGCATCACGATCTGAATCGAAATACGTCTGTCCGTCTTTCCTTCTGTCTGATTCTATGTAAACTAGTCTCTCAGTTTTAAAGCTATCTTGCTGAAACTTTCCCAAAAGTTGTGTACGGGCCGGATCGGCCGACTATATCGGATAGCTCCCATACAAGAGATTGAAATAAAAAATTCTAACGTCGTTGTTTTTGATCAGATCGACTTGATTTCTTCCAGATGGCGTTTTCTAAACACTATTGAATTTCGGATAAAATTTTTATCAAAATCGGATAACTGCACCATACAGCTGCCACACAAAAGATAAAAAAATATGTACATACATATATAAATAATGAAAAAAAATTATATCCTCATTGCTTTTAATCCCACGAGCATGGTTTTCAAAACATTGAGTTTTTAACAATCCTTGAGTCGAGAAAAAAATTTCATTATAAAATCTGACAACGTTATCATATAGCTGCCATAGAAAACATCGAAATCTATATAGAAATACGGAAATAAAATTATAACGACGCTGTTTTTAATCCCACGAGCATGGTGCAATAGCTTAAAAAATTATCCCAGCCCATTTCATTGACCCTAAGAGCAACGAAAGCAGTTTGTGGCCCTAATTGCATGATTATTGCAAATAGTACCTTGTGTATCTTGTGCGGTAAGAATAGCTTCATACGAGATACACAAGGTACTAATTTTTCGACCTGACCAAAACAAAGCAGAAGGTGCTAGCCGAATTGAGCAGAAAATTGCAAAACATTGTCCGAGTTGAGCAGAAACGCTTTTTTGACATAAAACATAAATGTCCGAGTTGAGCAGAAACGCTTTTTGGACATAAAAAATGAAAAACCGATAACGGTAAAAAAAAAACATCTGAGTTGCGCAAAAACGCTTTTTGCATAAACGATGTACGGAAGGTGTTGTAGGTCAATGGCACGCCTATCAGTACGCTGGTAGCTTGCATAAATAAAGTAAAAATAACAACATCTCTGTATATTCGAAAATGACCACCGTAGATTGTCGGAAAATATAGTTCATACGCATGATTATTCCTATTCACCGGATGCTAGACTCCAAATATAATTATCATTCCACATAAGAGTTTGCTGCTGCGCCACTTATTTGTGTTCAATTGGCACATGTCTACTTATTTCATCCATATTCAATTGCGAAGTACATATGTTTATTGTGGGAAAAAAAGATTCATCGATCTTTACGGAATTTCTAAATTTGGTCTTCAGGCTCAAGGCCCGCGATAGAAGCTAACAATAGCTTAAACATCAACTTAATCTAAGCTTTATATAAACACTTTTCATAAACCTGAATTAGTAGGTTTCCAAAATCTGTAAGCAGATTTATAATTAAGTGAACCCACAATTAAAACTAAAATCGGTTACAGAAATTTTAAATTGTTTGGTTGTCGTAAAGCTTAACTATGATCACAGGTTGTCGTCATTATTTTTGTTCAGGTGAACAATCTACTGATATATACAAATTGGATTAATAAATAATAAACAAAATGTTGTTTGCTAATGACAACCAGTAAGGTCATGGCAAAGATCCAGATCCAGACTCGTAGTCCTCTGATGTTGATGACCATTGAGCCGTGCGCAAAGACTTTATTTGAGCCAGATGCTCTCCGGCTTCACTTTCCGTTTGAATTAGCATAGGGATTTGTTGAGGAAGGTCGCTGGTAGCCCACAGATACAGGTCCAGCGTTTTTTCCGTACAGTCAGCAATAAACCGAACAAATGGTCGAATGTCACCTTCGTTGGCTAGCTTGAGATAATGGTAGTACTTGCTTCGCTGGTTCTTTGGAATAATCACGGGCGGATAGCCAGCTCGCATTAACAACGTATTCATTAGCAGACGTGAGGTGCGTCCGTTTCCGTCGATAAAGGGGTGAATGTGGACCAGCTTGTAGTGGGCGAGGGCCGCATAACTGAAAATAAAACATGATTCGTTAAACGTTGTTAATTTAAAACGCTATAGGTTCAGAAATTAACATTAGGGAGATTAATTACACTCACTTGACGGGATGAAGAGTACTGCTTTGTTCCGAGTTAAGCCACCGTTGAAAGCGTTGCATTAATAGCGAAAGGTCACCAGGACCGGGGGGTATATGTCCACCAACGTAAACCTGATTTCGCCGAAACTCACCCCCTTCAATGGGGTCCACATGTCCTAGAACTCGACGATGGAGCTCGAGAATGTCCTTAATAGTGATTTCTATTCTGCAAACAAAATGTACAAACACTAAACAAAATGTTTTTTATGCTAATAATCCTACACTCTTTGACCAGAAAACAAATTTATGTTTTTCCTATGTTAAAGTGGTCTTTTATAGAAAACGTAATCGTAGTATGTACATGAAATCTGCAACTTACTTTTGCACCAGACTAGCATTTATGTACTTCATAGCCAGATCCATTCCCAAGATCTCGTTATGCTCGTCGATGGATTTGCCGTCTACAGCCATGCGAGTCTCTAGTATAGAACGTGTCTGGGCCAGCGTCATAGTATTACCCTCGATGCCAACCGAATGGTAGATGTGCTGAAAGTAGGCTTCCTTTTTGGCTCGTCGCAGAGCTGCGTTTGACTCGTGGATAGCGGAGAGGGCATCTCGCTTGGAGTCAAGCGACTCCAGGCGGCGCTCATCTAGTTCCTGTACCAAATCAGCGGTGCGCTGTCTGTTGGCCAGCGCCTCGGTGTTGCTTGGGTTCAGAGTCAGGGCCTGGAAATAGTACTGATCCGCCAAAACAACGTTGCGTTGGTTGTGCTCAAGAAATTCACCATATCTTAGCAGCACTTCAGGATGTCGAGGGGCTAAAGCCAGGGCGTGTTCAAACAAACGCGCTGCCTTGTCATCCTTCCCCGCCAGGTACATGTCCTGGGCCAGTCGCAGAGCCCCTAGCGCCTCCTTAATGTTTGTCTGCTCTGCATCCGTGTAGCTGGCCCCGAGACTGTCGCTAATGCTCTTGTCGTAAAATTCCTTCAATGCATTTAGCTCCTCAACAGAGTACAGTGCGGTCTCATCCCGCGTCTGTAGAAAGGGGGCGTTGGGCAGGTGGTGAAGCCGCCGCAGTTTCCAACTCAGGTTTGAGGAGGTTAAGGCATGAAACGACCAGGCCGCGATGCTGCCGGCAATGAAGAACAGTAACAAACGGTATAGGTGGTTAGGTCTTTGCGCACTACAAAGTGACGAGTTAGAATGTTCGTGTTGACCGGGGAGCTGAGCCTTTAACTGTTCTGCCTTTGTATCCCCAGCCGCTTGTATCGCAGTGCTCATGGCCAATGTCCTTTGTTAGATTATATGTCACACGAAATTTGCATGTAAGGCTAAGTCCAAACTGTGGAAGACTTGAGTCGTTAATTTCACGTCTTTACTTTTTGGACCGCCCAACATATCGTCAATCACCACGTATATGAATTAGAGCTGAGCTGCAAAAACATCGGTTTGTATGTATCGATGTTTTGAAACTGATCGATAAGTCTCATATTATCAAAAGTTAATTATGTTTGCTTCACGCCTCTGATTGTACCGAGCACTATTTAATGAAAGGGATAAAAAAAACGTATTTTTGTTAAACGGCTATACATTCAAAAAATGTTTGAAAAAAATACATTTTAATTTAATAGATATCTGTGCTCTAGTGAATATATTTCATTTTTTAGTGTGAACGTTCCTCGGCAAAATCTGCTGCTATTTTAAGGTGGGCTGCCCACCGTGGGCAGTGCCGCTAGCTCGGCGAGCTTCTTTGGGCCGAGTCCTTCCCAATGCTCGTCGTCCCAAAACACTTAAATATCTGCGGTCTTTACTAAAATAACGAAAACAAACCCAAAATAAAAATAAACCATTCAATACAAGTCAACGGATATTTGCCTTCGGCGTTTTTGGCCACTGCGTACCAGCGTTGCCAATTTAGCTATTTTACCGCTAATTAGAGGCTAGCGGGAAATATAGCTATTTTCAAAGCATAACTGACGGAATTTTGACTATTTAAAAACATCTGGTACCTTCTTGTATTTTTATGTTTTATGATGTTACACTTTTAAAACTTGCAGTATCTTCCCAGCGGGAAAAAAGATGTGAAAGATATGCTATTTTCCAGAGGTTTCTTCATACAAGGGGAAGGGCAAAAACCTCCTTCACCCCTTACATTTTTGCCGTCTCTCCTTTCAAAATACACGGGGGTGACACACAAAAGTAAAAATCGAATGATTCATTATACCCTTGCAGAGCAAAGGGTATTATAATTTCAGTCAGAAGTTTGCAACGCAGTGAAGGAGGCACCTTCGACCCCATAAAGTATATATATTCTTGATCAGCATCACGATCTGAGTCGAAATCCGTCTGTACGTCTGTCCGTCGGTCCGTCTGTCCGTCGGACCGTCATTGTTTTTCATCACACGACTATGGTTTTTTGAGTATCAAGTTTTTTAACTAGCCTTGATTTATAAAAAAAAATTCATTAAAATCCGACAACTTTATTATATAGCTGCCATAGGAGCGATCGAAAAATCTATATAGAAATACGGGAAATAAAATTACAACATCGTTGTTTTTCATCAAACAAGCATGATTTTTGGAATATAGAGTTCTATAATTACTCTTGAATTACATATTAAATTTCATCAAAATCGGACAAATATATCATATAGCTGCCATACGAACAATAGTCGAAAATATGGAAAATTAATAGAAAAATAGGAATAGTTTCGATGTTGTTTAGCCCTTATACATTTTGAGCGACATATTTGATGACTGCAAGGGTATACATATATGTAAGCTTCGGCTGGCCGAAGCTAGCTTCCATTCTTGTTTTGACTATACCCTTGCAGAGGATGTTATTTTTTAATCAAAAGTTTGCAACGCAATGAAAGAGATATCGAAGACCCAAAAAGTATATATATTCTTAATTAGCATCATCATCTAAACCTATATAGACATATACGGCTATCCGTCTGACTGCTTCTATGTAAACTAGTCTCCAGTGTTTATGCTATCTCGATGAAACTTGATGAAAGGGGTTTTCGATCTTAATCGAACTAGACGTGATCGTGTGTTTATTTTTATGTAGACTAGTCTCCTAATTTTAAAGCTATCTGCCTAAACATTATCCAAAGATGTGTTTCATAAATTGCATGCGGGCAACTATACCGGATAGCTCCCATACGAGAGAATAAAAAATTCTCACGCCTTTGTTTTTGATCAGATCGACTTGATTTCTTCAGGATGGCGTTTTCGAACTGTTATTGATTTTCGGATTAAATTTTATCAAAATCGGATAACTCTTTCATATAGCTGCCATAGGAGAGATCGAAAAATACATATAGAATTAATGGAAATAAATTGATAACATCGTTGTTTTTTATCCCACGATCATGATTTTTTGAATATCAAGTTTTTTAACAACTCTTATATTGAGAAAAAAGTTTCATAAAAATCGGACAACTATATCTTATAGCTGCCATAGGAAAGATCGAAAAATCTATATAGAATTAACGGAAATAAAATTATAACATCGTTGTTTTTCATCAGACAAGTATGGTTTTTGGAATATAGAGTTTTCTTACGACTCTTGAATTACAAATTAAATTTGATCAAAATCGGATAGTCGAAATTATGGAAAATGAATAGAAAAATCGTCGATGTTTTTTAGCCTTTATGTATTTTGTTCGACATATTTAATGACTGCAAGGGTAAATAAGCTTCGGCTTGCCGAAGCTAGCTTCCTTTCTTGTTTGTTATACCATATTTTATAGTGACTAATAAAAAGTATCTTATGTCCGTTTCCTGGTTCTAAGCTACCTCGCTACCAATTTTCAGCCAAATCTGTTCAGCCGTTCTTGAGTTATAAGTGGTGTAACTAATACGACTTCCTTTTATATATATAGAAGATAGAAGATAGAAGATATATATTTTTAGTCGGTATCACCGTCTGAATCGATTTAAACTTGACTCTCAGTTTGAAATCTATCTCGATGCTATGCTGTTATGTAATCCTCTTTATTTAATGCTTCACTGTTTTGAACTGAATTGTTTTTCTGAAACAAGTTTTTATTAAAAATAATATTTCTCATTAGATACCGATTTTTTACTTATGAAAATATTAATAAAAGTCAGCCGGGGATTCCTACTTAAAAGAAAAAAATAAAAAAGAGCTACTTTCCAATTAGTGTCATCTTGCGGTCAATTTTTTTAGACTACCAAAAGCCAATTGAATTGATTCGTTATAGGATGTAGGATGAAGAACTGGTTTTGTCTTGACAACTTGACTAAAATTTGAGGTGATGCTCGCTTAATTTGCATATTTCTTTGTTAATTGCTTTGAACCAGTCATGTAAAGGGAATGCCGCACTTATATCAGCTCATTAGATCACACAATTGCTTTTTTCCTATCCACTGCAACCGGCACTTGAATCACTCCAGCTTGAAATACCCTAGCTACCAATTCATCCGATATTGATTCCGTCACCGGCGGCACAAAACCATTTGCTCTCTCCCGAGAGATAAGAGACTTTTCTCCTTTGGCGATCGTCTGCTGTTTGTACTGCAGCCTCTGCTCTCCTCTCATAAAGAGTGGCTGGGCGCTCGGCCGTCAGTTGCTGTTCGACAGCGCCACAAGGCGCAACGGTTTATTCTCGAGTCAAGGCACTTCGGCGTTCGCAGTGGGGGAACCTTGAGTGAGGTGTCCTGAATCACATTCATTCATAGTTGACCGCGACAAACACTCATCTGGGCTATCGGGATTGCCTTTAAAAGTGCACAGTTGTGTAAGTTGATACAGCTTACTATGTTCGATTGCTCTCTGTAAAATCGTCAAATTGGAAAGAAATTTTTAAAAATAACTAGCGCCAGCTGCAGTGGCCCAAAAATGTGTTCCAGAAATAAATATAATTACATTAGGAAAACGAATGTCTGACCCATTTAGGCGCCCTGGAAAGTTACACGTCGCCAAGTCCATGGGTCTTATCAACGTAAACCGGATGAAAAGGGAATTCGGGGCCACATTACTTAAATTTGACAAAAAATAATGAAATAGAGCCAAAGTGATCAGTGAGACCCAAGTAAGAGTATTTTTTCGTAGGCTGATTGTGAGCTCATTATCGCCGGATTAACCTATGCTGCCCCATCGTCCGGAGCTGGTGCGATAACCTGCGGTTATGGTCTGAACTAGATTCCCCATCCTCTCGTTATCATCGCCGAAAATACTCGTACTTGGGCTTAAACGCAATTACCAGTTTCAGCGAAGGTGCTCCTTTCTTCATGAGTATTTACTATTTCTTTTCGACGTTGTTTCACAGCCTGTCGTGCCATGAGGACTCTGGGTCTTCTCACCTTGCTCATGGCGGTTGCCATTTGCCAGGGCTACGGAAGCTATCAGCGGTCTAGCTTCAGATCCAGCTCATCGTCATCTTTCGGCAGTGGACAGTCTTCGGCGGCCATGCACTTACAGTCGACGCCACAGCTTAACTCTTTCGCATCTGCGCATTTTAACGACGTGCGATATTTGGCTAACAGACTGAAACAGAAATTCAACGCTCTTTCCCAGGGATCATCCAACTTTGGTTACCCTTCTCCCTGGAGCGGTAAGTTGATTGTGCATGATGTTTAAATGAAGGATTCAAAACAAAGAGGAGATTTACCAAAAAATTTGTTTCATTTATTTCCTGGAACTTAAAATACCAAATAATAATAATAAATTGTGTATATCGACCTTTTTCCATATGGGTTACTACATATATCATACAGCTGTCATAGGAAAGATCGAGAAATCTTTATAAAACTATAAATTGTTTTTATCACACAAGCATGCTTTTTGGAATATCGAGTTAATCAAAAAACAAGTTTCATAAAAATCTGATTATTATACTGTATAGCTACCAAACGAAAGATTAACCAATTTATATAAAATTAATTTAACAAAATATTACATTGTTATTTTGTAACATATAAGCATGATTTTTCGGATAAAAGTTTTTAAAAGCTATATTTATAGGATTAAGCTTTGCTTAGAAAAGTTGATACGATTAAAGGTACTAGAAAGTTATTATTACAATAATCGGACTATTATAGCATAAGCTACCATTGAGAAAATGAATGGGAAATTCGAGACAACTAGATAAGTACTTTGCAGTACACTTAATCGTTGGCGGTGTAATAAATTAACTAAACTAACTAATAATAGGAATGGCTGTAAGAGTATAAAAGCTGAAAAAGTTTAATTATATTTATATTATTTATATAGTAAAATTATTTATATATTAAAAAACTGGAGGTACAAGTGTTAAGTTATTTTTTATTACAAATTAATACATTTTTTTTTTTTAGTTTAATGAAGCTTTACAGCCTTGCAGGGATTAAAATCATCGAACAAAATACATAAGGGCTAAACAGCATCGAAGCTAAGACGACTTTTCTATTAATTTTCTATATTTTCGGCGATTGTTCAAATGACAGCTATGTATATTATATATTCGTCCGATTTTTATGAATATAGATTCGAAATGCAAGAGTCGTTAGAAAAAAAAAATATGCTTGTCTGACAAAAAACATTGATGTTATAATTATATTTCCGTTAGTTCAATATCGATTTTTCGATCTTTCCTATCGCAGCTATATCATGTAGTTGTCCGCTTTTTATACCCTTGCAGAGCAAAAGGGTATTATAATTTCAGTCAGAAGTTTGCAACGCAGTGAAGGAGACACCTCAGACCCCATAAAGTATATATATTCTTGATCAGCATCACGAGCAGAAGCGAAATCCGTCTGTACGTCTGTCCGTCTGTCCATCTGTCCGTCTGTCCGTCTGTCCGTTTCCGCGCAAACTAGTCTCTCAGTTTTAAAGCTATCGTGCTGAAACTTTCCCAAAAGTTGTGTAGTTGTTGCACTCAGTATATAAGTCGGAACGGGCCGGATCGGCCGACTATATCGGATAGCTCCAATACAAGAGAATGAAATAAAAAATTCTCACTCTGTTGTTTTTAATTAGATCGACTTGAATTCTTCAAGATGGCGTTTTCTAACTGTTATTGAATTTCGGATTAAATTTGAACAAAATCGGATAACTCTATCATATAGCTGCCATAGGAGAGATCAAAAAATATATATAGAATTAATGGAAATAAATTGATAGCATCGTTGTTTTTTATCCCACGAGCATGATTTTTTGAATATCAAGTTTTTTAACAACCCTTATATTGAGAAAAAGTTTCATAAAAATCGGACAACTATATCTTATAGCTGTCATTGGAAAGATCGAAAAAACTGTATAGATTTGTTTATAAATAAAATGATAACATCGTTGTTTTTCATCAGACAAGTATGATTTTTGGAATATAGAGTTTTCTTACGACTCTTGAATTACGAATTAAATTTGATCAAAATCGGACAACTATATCATATAGCTCCCATATGATCTATAGTCGAAAATATGGAAAATGAATAGAAAAATCGTCTTAGCTTGTTTAACCTTGTTTAACCTTTATGCATTTTGTTCGACATATTTGATGACTGCAAGGGTATATAAGCTTCGGCTGGCCGAAGCTAGCTTCCTTTCTTGTTATGAAATTGTTTTCATAATAATGATAGTTAAAAAACTTGATATTCTAATAATCATGCTCGTGGAATAAAAAATAACGACATAGTCATTTTTTTCATTTATTTCATTCATTTAAATATATATTTTTCGTTCCTTCCTATGGCAGCTATATGATATAATTTTCCGATTTTGATAGATAGGTTTGAAAACCCCATCTGGAAGAAATCAAGTCGAACAACAACGGCGTTATATTTTTTCTTTGATCGCTTTAAAGTTGAGAGACTTGTTTACATAAAAAGAGACAAACGGACGTCTGTGTACGTCGTACACGTCTAGATCGGTTCAAATCGCAATGCTGATCAAGAATATACATATATACTTTATGGGGTCTGAGGTGTCTCCTTCACTGCGTTGCAAACTTCTGACTGAAATTATAATACCCTTTGCTCTGCAAGGGTGTAAAAAATTATCATTAACGCCGATAAAACGCAGTCCAAGCAGAAGACGTCGCCTTGGTATTAGTTGACCAACAATTTTAAAGGAGAGTCTTTGTTATTGAGGGAATTTATGGTTACCATAAATATAACTTTGCAACGTGGCCCCAATTGCAAGGACCTTTCTTTATATTGAAGTGCCTGCCTATTTCACGTAATTCAATTGCGGGATTTAGTTACTTTGATGTAAGTAAATTATCAAAGGATTAACGCAACAAACTTATAGGAAAAGCTTAAGTAAAAGTTTTCTGAATATTTTGGGTACGAAAGGATATTAGTTGGCGAAGTTGACCGCGGTAAAATAAGGTCATATTTTTATAATGTTTGCTACGGACTTGCTAAATCTTTCACCCATCCTTCTTTATAGCTTCTATTTTGGACCTGAGTGGATTGAGCTCTGCTCAGCTGGACGACTTGAGTTCCCAAATCAGTGAGCAGCTGGTGGCGAGCATGCGCCAGGGTAGTATCACGTATAGTACCATAGCACAACCCAACTTCTTTGAAGCTAAAGCGTCCGAGTTCCTTGAGCGTTACGCCGGAGGGAAGAACGACAGCCTGCAGCAGGCAGTGGACCTAAGCCCTTTTCACACCGTGGACTTAAGTGGATTTGACGAGGTTAAGAACTACGCCTATCCCGCCGAGGTGAAGGTTATCGACGGCAAGACGTACGTAGTGCACCGCAACTGTACTGAGGCCACGAAACTATCGGGATTTGGTGACTCGGCCCAGCTGACCCAGGGTCTTCCTCTCAGCAGCACTACGACCACTATCACACGAAAGAAGACCATCCACGACTGGGTGAGGGAAAACATGGAGCCCAGCGTGGTCGGCTACAACTCTGTAGTCAACGTTAACGGCCAGCTGAACAGCAACACCCTGAACCAACACCAGCCCTTCGGCCAGGCGACTCTTCCGCGGGACGAGCAGTGGAAGCGCGAAGAGCGGGAAAGGCTCTTCTGGTATCTGACTACCCCGCAACGGCTCGACGACTGGCAGCAGCAGCAAGAGGAGCGCCTGTTGGGCGTGGTCCAGCGCTACCACACCAGCCTTTCCGAGCTGAAGGAGTTCCACCGCCGAGAACTGGCGCGTTTTCAGGCTCTCCTAAGGCAGTACCAGCCGCAGGTTCGCGGTGAAAGCGAGTGGCAAAGGCAGGAACGGGGTCGGTTATACTGGCTGATCCACCAGAATGGTTTTGCAGCCCAGGACATCGAACGCTGGCAGACTGAGAACGCGCGCAAGTTAGCCCAGGCAGCCCAACAGCACGGCGTCAGTCAGAACCAGTTGTTGCAATGGCAACGAGAGGAGCTGCAACGCCTTAACGTTCACTTCAACCGGGTGAACGAGTCGCTGATGCCGCAGGCGCCATTAGTCTCACACGGTACCTACGTCTACCCAGCGGTCAGTTCCCTGACCGAGGACAATACGAAAGAGCAGCAACGTCTGGAGGAACTGATTCGGCAGCATAACGCAACTATCGCGGCGCTTCAAAACTCAATAAAAACTGACCAACAGCGGCTGAAAAACCTATCGATCAAGTACCAGGGTGACATGCTAAGTCAGACGCAGTGGCTCCGCGGCGAGGTAGCCCGAATAGGGGACTTAATAAAGGACCAAAACGAACAGGTATCCAAGATCACGGCGTGGCAGAGCTCGGAGCGCTCTCGCTTGGAGAACATCCTGCGCGAACATCGCGGGTCTGTAGGCGAAGTACAGCAGCGAATGAACCAAGACCGGAACTACCTGCAAAACCTAGCCAGCAAGTACCAAGTAACCGTTGAGGAACTGGAGAAGTGGCAGCATGAGGAACTGCAGCGTCTTCAAGTCCGCGGACAGCAGCAATTAGAGGATCACATCAAGGACTGGCAGGCTAGTTTAAGTAGCAACCTGCGCGAAATCGTTGGTCAAAACCAGTTGACCATAGAGGAGTTCCAAAACTCCATTATTAACGACCGCGGTCATTTGGAAGAGATGTCGCGCATCTATAAGGTTAAGGTGGAGGAGATTGAGCAGTGGATCAAGAGCGAGCTAAAAAAGTTCCAGTCGGAGGGTTTGCTTAAGGAGGTGGAACAGGAGTTGGTTCAATGGCAGCAGAAGGAACGGGAGCGACTTCAGGCTCTTGTGCTGCACAACTCGCTGACCGTGGAGGAGCTGGAGAATAAGATCAAGAATGACCAAGCCCACTTCTTCCAGTTGGCCGACAAGTACAAGGTCAGCGTTGATGACATTCAGGACTGGCTGAAGAAGGAGCTTTTGCGGTTGCAAACCGAGGGCCTAGTCAAGGCGGAAACATTAAAAGACTGGCAGGAGAACGAGCGCACGCAAATTTCGTTGTTGGTAAAGCAGAATAAGTATTCCCTCGACGAGTTCGAACGGAAGATGCTGGCGGATAGAGCCCGGCTGCAAGACCTCTCCAACACCTACAATGTCAAGGTGTCTGAGATAGAGCAATGGATTAAGTCGGAGGGCGAACGCCTCCAGCACGAGGGGCAACTGAGGATGGAGTCGCAGCTCAACAACTGGCAAAAGATCGAGCGCCAGCGAATACTGGACCTTATTAACAAAAACAATCTGTCCATCGAGGAGATTGAGTCGAGGATCGGCAAGGATCAGACCCACCTCTATAGCCTAGCCCAACAGCACCAGGTGCGCGTTGAGGAGATCGAGCAGTGGATACGGCAGCAGATCCAAAAGTTGCAGGACCAGGGACTGATTGAGATGCAAAAGCTGAAGAACTGGCAGTTGGAGTGGCGCGGCAATCTTACCAACATGGTGCAGGACCGTGACTTTACCGTCGAGGAGTTCCACAAGTGGTTGCTCAAGGACCGCGCCCAGTTGCAAAGCCTGGCCATGCAACATAACGTCCAAATCGAGGAGATTGAGCAGTTCGTTCAGAAGGAAGAGCAACGATTCATTGAAATGGGTCTACTGAAGCCCAGCGAGAAGCTGACAAACTGGCAAGAGGTAGAGCGATTGCACCTAAAGAACCTGGCCCAGCAGCAGTACAAGTCAACCGAGCAGTTGGAGGCCCGTCTGAGGCAAGATCGCGAGCTCCTTGAGCGCCTGGCCCGACAGTACAGCGTCCAGGTGGAGGAGATCGAGAGCTGGATGAAGCAGGAGCTGGCGCGCATGCGTGACGAGGGCCAGCTGCAGATCGATAACCTTACATCCTGGCAGCTGGCAGAGCGTGAGCGTTTGGAGTCGCTCATCAAGCAAAACAAACAGTGGAGCGCCGAGGATCTACGAGAGGAACTCGAGAAGGATCGCGAACACATGCAGACGATGGCATTTCAGTACCACACCTCAGTAGAGGAAATCGAGAAGTGGCTCCAAAGCGAAATCGAACGACTGAAGCAGCAGGGAAAACTCAACATCGAACAATTGACTGCATGGCAACGCACCGAGCAGCAGCGAATCCTTTCTCTCCTGCAGCAGCACTCCAATTTAACCTTGGAGCAGTTCCAAGCAAAGGTGCGTTTCTATTTATCATAATTCTCTGTTATTAAAACTGAAAAAATTTATCTTACTGTGTAAAATTAGTTCCCATTCATTGCAAGGAATTACAAGGGGTTTTGGGTTGATTTCTTGGATGATTGAGTGAACTGGATTTCCAGGCTTAAAATGTACATATACAGAGATAAATAAAAAGCGAATTTCTATCTTTTGCAGGTTCAAAACGATCGCCGTTTTTTGGTAAAGCTCGCAGAACAGCACCACGTCCATATTGTGGAGGTGGAGAACTATGTTAATCAGGTTATAGAAGACTTACGCAAAAACGGCCAGTTTGATATAGAGCAGCTGCAAACATGGCAGAAGGTGGAGCGAGATTACATCAAGAGCCTGATTGCGGAGTACAAGAACGGGCTATCTACGAAAGAGTATGAGGACAAATTGTTGGCAGACCGCGCCCACCTGAAGCACCTTGCAGAGCAGTACCGCCTAAATGTGGAGCAGATCGAGGAGTGGATGATTGCAGAGTTAAAACGTTTGCGGGGCAGCACGGAGGAGTCGCTGAAGAGCCTAAGCGCCTGGCAGGTGACCGAGCTGGAGCGGCTGCAGAACCTTGTCAAGCAGCAGAACCACCTAACCTTCGTAGAGTTCGAGATGCAGCTCAACCAGGAGCGGGGTCGTCTACAGAATCTGGCCAACCAGTACTCCGTCAACGTGGAAGAGATCGAGGGGTGGCTGCGCCAGCAGTTGATAAACCTACGAGCCACAGGTCAGGCAAAGGTTGAAGACTTGAGCAAGTGGCAGGTTGACGAGCAGCAGCGTCTAATAGAGTTGCTGCTGAAGAAGCAGCAGGAGATGCCATATGAGGAGGTGGAGCGAGAGCTGACCCAGGACCACGCCCGGCTGCAGAGTCTCTCGCAGACGCACCACGTCGGCATCGACCAGGTGGATCGGTGGCTGCGGGATGAACTGCAGCGCCTGCACAACTCCGGTCTTGTTCAAATCGAGCAACAGACGCAGTGGCAGCAAAAGATTAGCAAAGGGTTCAACGAGTGGCTACAGCAGCAGCGCAACGGGGCAAGCTACCAGGAGTTCGTCGACTTCCTGAAGCGCGATAAGCAACGCCTGGACGGTATCGCCTCCGACTACCATGTGACTGTGGAGCAGGTGGATAAGTGGGTAAGATGCGACTGAATAGGGGTCAAGTTAATTGCAAGTTATTTCCAACTGTTCGTTGGAAATTTTGAACAATGCAGAAAGTATCAAAATATTGAGCGCTTTGTCAATATATTCTTTAAGATTAGGATCAAATTACCTATATAATCATAACTTTTTATGGAACTAATATCTAAGACATAAATCTGTCTCTGACAGATTTTCCTTAAAAAGAAAACCTTGGAGCGATTTCTTGGATCGGCATTATAAGTCATAGCAAAAACCTTTATAAAATATATGTAGAACAATAACGATTACTCATTTGCTTTTAAAGATTCCAGTTAACATTTTGAAATACAATTTTATTTAATTCTTTAGAAAAATTTAACTTTAAAACAATTGGAAACTTGACATATATGTTTCGAAAAATCTAAAGTATATTCAATAGTCGATAATGTTAGCATCTAACCAACTACAGGAGAAAAACTTGATATAAGAGATATAGAATCGGATACTATCGTTTTTTTTATAGTTTGCTTTCAACTGCAACCGCCGATGAGGGTATAGTCTTGCATAAGCTGGCCTTTCTTGTTGATTATTTGGGTCTTGAAGTGACTGAAAATCTATCTTTAACGTACAGGTTCAAAAAGAAGCCGCCCGACTCTCGGTCATTGGAGTGATTGATCGTCCACAAGACAATATCAAGTACGAGGATATCGGCAATATTTGGCGTAGCGACAAATCTGCCCCTTGGAGGAGCGAGTGGCAAACCAAGGAGCGAATGCACATCGACGATTTGATCAATCAGCAACAGCGCAAGCAGTTAAGGTGGACTTTTGAGGAGCTGGAACTCCGACTGAACAACGATCAAAAGCACTTGCAGGATGTCGTTCAGTACCATGTGACTGTTGAGGAGCTAAAGGTTTGGTACAGGAATGAACTCAACCGGCTGCTGGAGAACCGCAGGATCGACCGCGGCTCAGACCTCTCATGGCAGAATGTTGAACTGGAACGGATTTATCTGGCGACGGTAAAGAACCCGGACATCAGTCGGGCGGCCCTAGAAAACCTCCTCTTCCGAGACGTCCACGTCCTAGCACCACAGTACCAAGTCTCAGTCGAAGAGCTCCGTCTCTTTATTCAGGACAAGCTGCGTCGGTTGTTTGAACTAGGCCTTTTAGTGGACAATACGGCACAGGCCAATAACTGGCGCGACCAGGAGCGAAAACGCCTGAGAGAAGTGGCTGAAGGCGTAGTGATCACCGAGCAGGAGCTGCTCGAGTTTATCTCTCAGGATACCACCTTCCAGCTGCAATTGGCCCAGCTCTATCAAGTGGGTCTGGCGCAGTTGGCGCCCGTGCAACGCATCTTCATCGGCAACATGGCCCGCGAGCATCTGCTGGAGCAACGCCGCCTGAAGTTGCTGGCCCCTTGGCAGCAGCGGGAACGCGACCGCCTGTACGAATTCATTGGAAACCAAAACATGACCCAGGCTGAGCTGAAGAGCTGGCAGAGCCAGGGCTCCCATCTGCTGCAGGACTTCTCTAAGAGGTACGAAGTCTCCGTGCAGCAGCTTAAGGATTGGCAGAAGCAAGAGCTAGGGCGCATCAACCAGCTGGCGCACTACTACGGCATGTCGCAGAGCGACTTGCAACAATTCCGAGAGGGCGAGCTGCTTCACTTGGCCTTCGTTAATCACCGTCTGCTAATGACAGCCGATGAGGTGCAAAAATGGGAGAAGCGGCACCAGTGGTCCTTGAGCAGACTGCAGAGTCGCTACGGCAAGTCCGGCGATGAGTTGGTCGCCTGGCGCCGCACTCTCTTTCTGCTTAGTCAGGGACTTATTGAACTACCGGCGGACAGAGGCGTCGACGGCGGATACGTGGTGGATCCGGGAAGCACCAATGCCACAGCTGTCTACAAACCAATATTCTCCAAGGACCGCGGGGATCAACCGCCGCACACCTACGAGGAGTCCTTTGTCGAGGGCGATGAGCCGGGTCTGGAGGGTGAGACAATTCTTCCCACTCCCCTGCCAGTCGCTCCTTACAAGCCGGTTGGTGGACCAATTGGCGGGTACGAGTACCGTCGACAGGACTACACCTTTGACGTGCCAGTCGGCACTGCGTCGGCATCTGCTAGCGGGGGAGCCTCCGGATCTTCAGCCAGAGCCAGCGCCACCGTGGGAAAATGGAATCGCTCGGCTAGGGATGAGCCACCGCAACAGGAAGAGGACCTCGGACAACAGCAGCAGGAAGCGGAGCTGGGTTGGAGCGAAAAGCTCGAGGATCTTGGGCAGCAGTCGCAGGTGGAGGATCAGGACTGGGGCCAGCAGTCGCAAGTGGAGGATCAGGACTGGGGCCAGCAGTCGAGGGAGTTTGGGCAGCAACAGGTTCAAGTCGGGGATCTTAGTCGTCCCAAGTTCGACCAAGCGCACGACAATAACAATAGCAAGAACCAGATTCTTCAACAATCCCCAAAGGTTAGTTTATTTGATTTACCACATACATCACAAGTAATTTGAAAATTTGTTTCAACAGGTTGAGATAGAAGCGACCGCTGAGCCCTCCTTCTGGGAAAAGCTCAAAGGAAAGCTCGGCTAAGAAACCAACAACTGCCATTGCCGACGGACTTTTAACAGTCCGACTTATTAGGTTACTGAACGAAATGAAACTCTTAACTAACAGAAAATCTATTATGTTATCTAAATTTTTTTAATTTGCTTAGCTTTAGACATGACTAAAAAGCATTTCAAAGTGCACTGAAAAATTAAAAGAGTGTGCATGGTAGTTCCTTGATCAATCAAAATATTAAAGCTTTGAAAAAACTTTTTCGTTTTCTATTTCCTTTCCATTTTATAATTTCACTCAGTTAGCTACGCAGTGAAGGGGACACACTAGACCCTATAAATAGTAAATACTCTTGATCGGCATTTGCATCTCAGTCAATCTAGTTGCATAATCTGTTTTTATATAAACGAGTGTTGCAATTGGAGTCGATTCCGGAAGAGACTATATCGATATTTTAGCGCAGACAGCGATGGTTAGGGTAGCGCCTCCTTTTGGGCCATGGACGAATTATCTAACATGTAAAATAATGCCGGCTTAGGGATTTCTCTTAGATGGTCTTGAGGAGGTCCAATGACATCTCTTGGAGAGAGGCTGGGGAAGATGGCAGGGAACCATGCGGACAAGAACGGATCAACGGAATCGTTCAGTAGTACCCGAAAAGAAGGACATGATAGACGTGGCGATTTGAAATATAAGTGATTTTTGGGTTTGAAGTTTGAAATTGATTTAGTTTTTATACCCTTGCAGAGCAAAGGGCATTATCATTTTGGCCCGAAGTTTGCAACGCAGTGAAGGAGACACCTTAAGTATAAAGTTGATCAGCATCACCATCTGAATCCAAATACGTCTGTCCTCCTGTCCGTATCTACTCAAACTAGTTTTAAAGCTATCTACAGGCCGGATCGGCCGACTATACCGTATAGCTCCCACACGAGAGAATAAAATAAAAAATTCTCAAAAAAAAAAAATTCTTTTGATCAGATCGACTTGATTTCTTTCAAATGGTGATTTCTAACCACTATTGAATTTCGGATAAAATTAAGATCGAATTACATATATATGGGTGATTCCATATCAGATTTACAGTCGATATCGGGAAATTCGATGAGATATTTTTTTCCATGCTCTTTATCGAAAATAAATCGATACTAATTTTTTTATATGGCTCAGAAAATTTTTTTGACAAAGTTATGATTTTTTGAATTTTTGATGAACTGCCCTTTTTTTTGATGACAGTCGCGTTTTCCAGCCCCAATAACTCGATAACCGTACGTCGCAGAAAAAAATGTATAGGAAGTAAAAATTTCATCCTTTCTTCTTCTTTGCAAAACTTTTGTGAAATAATTTTTTTAAACAATTTTTCACCACAAAAAGTTCAAATGTTTACAACAAATTAATTTTTCTCCAATTTGGACAATTTTGATTTTTTTTTTTATCTCAATAAATCCCTCAAACTCTTCTGATGAACATACTAAAATTTCAGAATGGTATCAAAATTAGTTTTTGAGTTATAGAATTAAATAGCATTAAAAATTCATTTTTTTGACCCTTACTGTGCGCGCGCGAAGTGAATTGACGCTCGTTAGAGTCGTTGGTCGGCGCACGCCCTGAGACCGAGCGCGCGGACGGTGCATGAAGTCTTGAATATTCTATAACTCAAAAACTAATTTTGATACCATTCTGAAATTTTAGTATGTTCATCAGAAGAATTTGAAAGATTTATTGTGATAAAAAAAAATCAAAATTGTCCAAATTGGAGAAAAATTAATTTGTTATAAACATTTGAACTTTTTGTGGTGAAAAATTGTTTAAAAAAATTATTTCACAAAAGGTTTGCAAAGAAGAAGGAAGGATGAAATTTTTACTTCCTATACATTTTTTTTCTGCGACGTACGGTTATCGAGTTATTGGGGCTGGAAAACGCGACTGCCATCAAAAAAGGGCAGTTCATCAAAAATTCAAAAATCATAACTTTGTCAAAAAATTTTCTGAGCCGTATAAAAAATACGTGTCGATTTATTTTCGATAAAGAGCATGAAAAAAATATCTCATCGAATTTCCCGATATCGACTGTAAATCTGATATGGAATCACCCATATATACACAAGAAAGGAAGCTAGCTTCGGCAAGCCGAAGCTTATATACCCTTGTAGTCATCATCGGATCGACTTGATTTCTTTCAGATTGCGTTTTTTAACTATGTACTATTTGTTTTTTTGATTTAATTTTATCAAAATTGGATAACTCTATCATATAGCTGACATAGGAAAGATCGAAAAATATATACAGTAGAATCCGCTTATAGCGACTTTCAAGGGACAGACGATTTTTCGTCGTTATATCCGGAAGACGCACTAAGCAGAAGGATTTAAGTGTATAAGTCTGTCTGGGGACCAATCAAGCCATCGAGTTTTCGTCGCAATACCCGGACGGACACTATAAGCGGAGTCGTTATTACAGGATTCTACTGAATATAAATTATGGAAAAATATTATAACGTCGTTGTTTTTAATCCCACGAGCATGATTTTCAAAATATGGAGTTTTTTAATAACCCTTGAATGGAGAAAAAAATTCATTGAAATACGACAACGTTATCATATAGCTGCCATAGGAAAGATCGAAAAATCTATATAGAAATAACGGAAATAAAATTAAAACATCGTTGTTTTTCATCAAAAAAGCATACTTTTTGGAATATAGTATTTTCTAACGACTCTTAAATAAAGAATTAAATTTCATCAAAATTGGACGACTCTATCATATAGCTGCCATATGAACAATAATCGATAATATGGAAAATGAATAGAAAAATCGTCATATCTTCGATGTTGTTAAGCCTTATGTATTTTGTTCGGCATATTTAATGACTGCAAGGGTAAATAAGCTTCGGTTTGCCGAAGCCAGCTTCCTTTCTTGTTGAGTATTCGAATTGCTTTATGCATCGTCTACACAGAATATTTTAGCTGCATATTAAAACTGATTTGTACAATTCATCTATGTGCATGATTTGCTTATATGGGCCTCCAGCTGCGATCCGGCTCCAAAGTGCGTGGTTCGGAACTGGAGGCCCTCGTTCAGCTCCTCAAGAGCTTCAATTTCCACATTAATTCCGCCTCCTGTTTCCTGCAGTACATGGTGCTTTAGTTGCTCGATCTGGTGCAGTAGCTTGAGGGTTCCATCGTCTATGCTGTCGTCCTCCAGGCGGAGCTGATGCTCGTCCACGTCCCACTCGAGCGACTCCGGAGTTGACATGTGGGACCAAGAGTTCTGCCTGGACGAGCGGGACGCGAAGCGTGGTCTTGGCGGCGTAGGGGGCGCCTCCTTGAAGGCTTGCTGACAGTGGAGCTGGTACTGCCGCAGCTGTGAGTACTCGTGCTCCCACTCGAGGTCTAAGGAGGAGCTGGCCCGCGAGCTTGCCAGGCGCTGGTAGGTTCCAATTCCCATCTCCGTCTCCCTGATCGACGTGGGCTGGGCGTTAAGCAGCTTGCAGGCGTCCAGCCTCTGCATCTGAATGTCGGGCATGTTCCTGCAAGTATTTAGTCAGGGGTCCACCGTCATTTGGATTCTACAGAACGGATTTTACTTACCTTCCGCACTGTAGTTTGGTGTAACTGGGCTGCTGTTCCCATACCTTGTCCAGGAAACTGCGGCATTGCCGCCTCCGGTTGAAACTCAAAATGCGGTAGATGAACCCGTTCTGCTGGCAGTGCCGTTTGCTCAGCTTTGTCTTTGGTTCGGACCTTGAGCTATCATTGGCTCTACATCCGGTTCTGGGGCGAGGCCTACTGGGTGGAAAGTATAATATGAAAGTATCACAACTTTATCGAGCTGGAAAAGCAAACTATTGCTGCAGTGGTCAGCTCTGCCTAGTCACTGCGCGTAAAGGTTCTGAGGTTACTGCTTACAAATCGAGTTGTGAATTTTACTCGCTTCCTACGTGGATACCTTGCAACTGCCACCCACTCTAACGGGAAGCCAGCCTGGGCCACATTGTTTGGAGGCAACCACCGACCGTTGCACAGTCTTAGGCTGTTGACCCCAGCGGATAAGGCCCAGTCGTATTGATTGACCGGTTGGATGTGCGCGCTAGCCAGTCAATGAAGTCGAGTTTTAACTGACTACACTACTCACCAGAGCCAATTGTTGGCCGACCGCGGCGTGGAGGCGGTGGGCAAGGCAGCCGATGCCGGGGATGTGGAGTGGGTGGAGGAGGTGGACGTCGACGTGCAGGCGACGTGGGCGCGTGCGGGGGTAGCGGCAGCTGCAGCACAGCTGCCAAAACAAGAACCCATGGAATGGGCTGCTCCAGCTTCTGCTAGATCCTGTGTAATATTGCGCCTGGCATTTCACGCTAGTGGTGCGCCTGTATGGCGCCACATTCCGTCAGCTCGGGTCAAGGTTCCGCTCGACAGGCCCGTGAGCTTCGCTTTCCGGGTGTTCGCAGGTGTTGCTTGCACTCCAGAGCCTTTTCAACGTAACTCCACGCACTCTCTGGCGCCGCGCGAAACTGTTTTTGTGTTTGTTCGCGCCGTGGTCGACGTCACTAGGGGACGTCCCCGCTTCCTTGGCGCAGCTCTTGGACAGCCTAGCGACGGAGTTTCTGTAAGCCCTGCTACTGCTTGGTGGGTGGCGTTTTACCGCGACTGTGTAGAGTCAGCTGTTCCGCCCTCACATGTTTTCGGACTGGCGCTTTTAGTGCTTTCAAGCTCCGAAAGGTTCTTCGGAAGCGACCTTAAGCTTTAGTTGTGTGGTAGGGGGGAATGGGTTTTTGTCTTGCAGACACCTGAAAGAGCTTTGGTAGGGGTAATAACGGTAAATGTTAAGCTGGCTGCTTAGCTTGGTAACGTGCTGCAACGGGGAGTAGAATGGATTAAAAGAGGAATTAAAAGGGGAACTCTTAAATTACATTTTTAGACATGTCATCGGCTTAGTAAAATAGCGCTTACCAAAAAATTTTAACTTATAAAAACACTTTTCAGTACCGTGCTCACGAAACATTAATGAATTGAAAAAAAATGACTCAGGAACTCGGTTTTGGCTAGACCGAATTGGCTATAATAGACCACATAGAGAACATAAGAAAATCGAATTAAAAAACGTCAAGGCTGGAGCCGATGAATGAAGTCTGTCTTTTAAGGAAGATTATTCGACAGTTGAAATGTTGAAACAAAAGTGCCCACGATAAGCCATCCATTCAGTACACTGCATATTATTGGGATTACTTTTCCCACGCGCTCCCCCCACATGATAAACATTAAACTCAGTTTGCTGCATTAGTTGGGGGAGGGACGTGCACTAAAAGCCTCGGACTGCACTGTTCGCTGCTTACGGGACTGTGGGACTGAGCGCTGTTAGGTCTGCAGCGGAGGCGAGTAACATATGTAAGCTAACATAAATCACCGCCAACCGCAACATTTGTTTATCTTTTTAACATGCCGCAGCCGAAGCGCCGACTCACATGATTCGACGGGATGCTGTGTGCTCGGGGCTTCCTTGCCTCGTTCGCCTCGTCGTGCCAGTGTCAAATCGGCTGTTGATGCGTTCGGTTGTCGCGAGGAGTAGCATCCGCATCCGCACCCGCGTCCGCATCCGCATCCGTTTCTGTTTCTGTTTTCGCCTACACTTGGAGTGAAGTGTCGTACCTGGCGTGCCGGGACCCGGTGCTGATTGCGCTGAAGAGTAGCTAGCGCAGTATCTTCGATTCCCGTGGCAGGGTCTGAGTCGCTGGTTGTTGTTCCTAATCAACCTCCGGGAGTGTTTACTATCCATGCACCTCAACCACGCAGCCGAGTGGCTGGTTCTGTGTCGGCGTCTCTGTGTCTGCCGCGTAGTCCCCTAATTTAGTTATGTTGCAAAAACGGAGAACGGGAGAAGCAAACATGAATCCGTTGTTTCGTTGGCTCGCCACTCTATTTATAAATTGATTTGCTGATTCCGGCTGACAACTGACGCCCCATCTGCTTCGCAACTGCAGCACCACGTTCGGCATCCAGATTTTGCCCCGGTAAGACACAAAGTTTAAAGAACGCAGGGGACATAATAAGATGGAAATCGTTAGAGGGCAAAACGCAGGACTGTTTTGTGATTTGCACGCCTCATAGCAAAACTTAAGATTGCATTTGGTTAACGATCCGAAGAATCTTAAATCGAGAGCAGCGAAGTCCCCGCTCGAAGCCAAAGCATTTCCTCTAGGTCAGATCCTTTTGTCTAAAAAAAAAAAAGTTTTATGTATGGTTCTATTTAAAAACTAAATTGTTAGCAAGGCTTAAGAAACAACTCCGGGTATGCTTTTGTATCAATGCCTTTCTGCTTGTACACAAACTAGAATAGACCAAAAAAATCCATCTAATCTAATCTTTATAAAATAAAGTGCTTTTGTTTTTTATCATAGCAGCCCGACTTTTGGGATTTAGAGTTTTAACGAATCTTAACTGCTGAATTAAAATTTGTTTTGAAATAGAGACGTCCTTTAGAATCAGTTAAGCAGTAATAACTGTTAATACTTCGGAAAAAAGGTAACATTTTTTTCCCAACAAGCTTAGAAGGAACTTCAAAACATCAAGAAGATGTTTACAAAATTTTAAGTGGCTCGGTTCACTAGAAGTGAAGGTATAGTCACAAAAGACTAGACTTTGTTCAGCAACATCAAACATCGGGCAAGCCAATATCTGTAGCATTGTTCAACAACTTACCCGTTTTTCGGGATCAGCTTAAAAGTTATCAATTAGAAGCGTTCCCAAAAATTTTTTGAAATTAATATCAAACAAAGAACACGTTTTTACCTTATAGAGGATATAGGAACAAGTGGCCGAACTTATTGTTCGACTATATTGTACTTTCAAAGCAAAGGGTATTATAATTTCAGTCAGAAGTTTGCAACGCAGCGAAGGAGACACCTTAAATCCCATAAAGTATATATATTTTTGATCAGCATCACGATCTGAATCGAAATACGTCTGTCCGTCTTTCCTCCTGTCTGTTTCTATGTAAACTAGTTTCTCAGTTTTAAAGCTATCTTGCTAAAACTATCCCAAAAGTTATGTAGTTATTGCACGCTGTATATAAGTCGGAAAAGGCCGGATCGGCCGACTATATCGGATAGCTCTCATACGGGAGAATGAAATAAAAAATGGATGGCGTTTTCTAACTACTATTGAATTTCGGAATAATTTTGATTAAAATCGGATAAATCTATCATATAGCTGCCATAAGGAAGATCGAAAAATATATATATGATACATAAATATACAAATATATATATATATATATATATATATATATATATATTTGTTTTTAATCCCATATTTGTTTTTAATCCCACGAGCACGGAAATAAAATTATAACATCGTTGTTTTTTATTATTATTTCATTCATTGCAAATTAAATTTCAGCAAAATCGGGCAACTATATCATATAGCTGCCATATGAACAATAGTCGTAAATATGGAAAATTAATAGAAAAATCATCTTAGCTTCGGTGTGGTTTAGCCTTTATGTATTTTGTTCGATATATTTGACGATTTACAATTGTATATAAGCTTCGTCTTGCCGAAGCTAGCTTCCTTTCTTGTTTAAAACGGAGTTCGATGCGTATCATCAGAAACTATTTCAATAATCCCAATGTTTTACCATAAAAACAGTGGCTTCTCCAGAACTTCGCAGTTTGTTAATAGTGTTCGAGATATTAAAGCTTTTGAACAGTAATTAGTAAAGTAAATAGTCAGATTCTTTGGTCAAATAAGTTTTTTTTTATGATAGTATTACTACTACTATATATCTAAAGAGCACTCGATTTTGCTGTTGAGTACGCGTAAATCTCTGCGGTGAAAAGTCTTGCCTCACTCAATCTCATTACCCATTTCTCGATTGCTGCGCCACATCCTGGCTTGTTGCTGTTATTTTCAATTCATTTTTGGGTCTGGAGAAAAAATGTAAATTGATTTATTATGCTAAAGCGAGTGAACGCTTCATGAGAGACGGAGTCGTACAAAAAGTTAAAAACAGCAGTCGGGCCAGCAAGCTTCTTTCGAGCAGTAGAGCGTGCATTTTTATCGACCTTCTTCTCATTATGCAACTGCGAAACTGAAAGGTACAAGGCTTCCCTACTGTCATCGTGAGCAAACATGTCTCCTTTTAAGGATTTAAATGGGTAAACGAAGCAAACAATATTGACATTTACTATGCCTTTACAAGCTAAAGAAACGACACAACACAAATAACTTTCTTGGCAAAAAAAAAAAAAAAAAAAAAAAAGAACAAATAATTATACACCTTTGTTTCCTTTCTAATTATTCGTCGACAGTTTTCCGGAAATTCGAAGCTTCTAAACCTTTGCCGAAAAAAACCTCAAATTTTAAATGAGAGCAACTAAAACTTTTCAATAATTGCCATGGTAGCTTTAATAAGCTTTCGATTTAAAACAAATGTTGGTTCTTACATATTGAAGTAATTCGAACGTCGAAAACGTTTTTAAATTTTGTAAGTAGTCTATTAAACTAAGTTTAACTGTTTTCCCATTTCTAACAGGGTACTGTAGGTGCTGTTATAATATCGATGCCCTGAAATTGCCGATACTTCTGTTTCAATCTTGGCTAAAAACTACATACCTATACGAATAAATATTTTTACTACCCCTCTCAACAATTTCATTAAGTAACTTCATGTCTTGAGCTTAACGGTATACTGATATAATTTTCAATATAGTGCAATTGTTGTTTTCTTCTTTCGAAGAGTGTCGGCTAGAGATTAAGGGTGTATCTTCGTAGTCGTGTTTAGGATCCGACCCGTTAGCACTTTTATAATGCGTGCAATATCTACACAACTTGTGGGTAATTTATCAAGATAGTTTTTAAACTGAGGGACTAGTTCACATGCATTGAATCAGACAGGAGGACGGACGGACCGACGGACAGACGTTCCGACGTATTTCGATTCAGACCACCTTATGGGGTCTGAGGTGTCTCCTTCACTGCGTTGCAAACGTCTGACTGAAATTATTATACCCTTTTGCTCTGTAAGGGAATAATTAATAGAAACATCGGCACAGCTTCGATGTTGTTTAGCCTTTACGTATTTTTTTCGACTTAGCTAGCTTCCTCTTGTTTCTTAATAGTAATGACGGTTTACATTTTTTGTTCTTTTTCCTCCAGTTTAAATAAAAGCCCAATCCCAATTAAGCTGCATTGTTTTGGAAATTGTACAAAAGCATTTTGAGCCGGTTAGTGGAACAGCTTTAATTAAAAATAAATAAAATTCAATAATGATACAAATATTTGTGCGGTATAATTAGTTTTCTTTCGCAATTGAAAGCGTTTAAGAAAGTGATATCAATCCGGCACAATGTGGAACAATTTGGATGCATTTTCTTTTATTCTTTATGCGGTTCTGGGATGCCTCCTTGCCTCAACTGTAGCTTTAACCACTAGCACTGGAGGCGATGGCAACGTCGGCAACATCGGAGGATCTACCCTTAATAATGGTAAGTTTTTGAACATAATGAAGTTATGCATACCTAAGAAACTGATAATAGTGACCGGACTAAAAAATACCGAAGGGTACAATGTTTAAAGTGTGATGTTTTTCACTGTTATGTATATTATATATTATGTTATAGTACTTTTATTTTGTAATTATTTGTTACAACAAAAAATTATGTAAATATACTTTTTTTGTAAAATACGAGACACAATTGTAAAAAGAATTTTAAGGTGTACAACAAATAATGAATGAATAATGTGTAAAACAAATAATTGAATCCCTGCATTCCCATGTATATACATTAACCAGAAATCTAGACAACAACATAAGTGTCTTAATTTTATTGTTTGCCTACTCCCTAACATTTTAGGATCCCTCAGCCCAAAATTAAAAACAAGTTACAAACAAATAAGGAAGCTAGCTTCGGCAAGCCGAAGCTTATATACCCTTGCAGTCATCAAATATGACGAAAAAAATACATAAAGGCTAAACAGCATCTATGCTATGACGATTTCTTTTATTAATTTTCCATATTTTTGACTTTTGTTCATATGACAGTTATATGATATAGTGGTCCGATTTTTATGAAATTTAATTCGGTCTCTATGTTCCAAAAATCAGGCCTTTCTGATGAAAAACAACGATGTGTGAAGAGGATGGTTTTTATGCTTTTCCGAGTGGCGCGTTTATTTAATAATAATTGAGGTGGATAAAATAAAATATGTAAATTTTGCTTATGCGTCTTTCTGTGCTTGCTTAGCTTCTCGTTCTTCTGCTTGCCTATTCTCGTGTGACTTCTCGACTCGATATACATATAAACAGTGTTCTTAAATTCTACAAAAATGTGTTGTGAAACGGTTCAATGTGAATAGCTGTTCACAGTCGGCCTTTCCTGACAAATCGCCGCGTCCTCGCAAGATTCGGGATGTGGTCCTGGGTCGTCTACAAAATCGTCATCTTCATCTGGGTCATCGGGAGGGAGTTGGCACCAGCGCTTCATTTTGTCGGACGAGTAGACCGACTTGTAGTGTCTCTGCTTCCTCTGGGCATGTGGGATATCTTCCACCAGATATCTGTCGTTTGGCAGTACCTTACTGACAATAAAAGGACCTTTATAACGAGGCTCCAACTTGCGCGATGTTCCTGTGCTAAACGGTTCATTCTCGACCAAAACAAGGTCTCCAGGGCTATACATCGTTGGCTTAGAATGTCTGGCATCGTAACGTTTCTTAGCAGCCGCTCGATGGTCGTTGATGGTGTTCGCTGCATCTGCTCTTAGCTTTTCCAATTCTGCATCCGTTAACATCTTCTGGTTCTGGCCTTGAATTGCATTTGTCAATGTGTTCTTCAGAATATCTCGGGGCTCGTAACCATACAAAAGCTGAAATGGGGAACATTTAGTAGTGCTGTTTATCATGGTGTTAATACTCCACTGGATGGTACGCATGTTTTCATCCCAACGTTTTTCTTTTTCATTTAAGGGCAATAACATTGAAAGAATAACTCGATTTGTTCGCTCTGCATGTCCATTTGCTCTAGGTGTCCTCACAGCATTGAGTATGTGCTTTACATTATTTGACTTGCAGTATTTTTCGAAATCTTTTGAGGTAAATGCTGTGCCGCGATCGGTAATTATTCTGCTGGGCATTCCTAAATAGCTGATTACATCTTGTAGAATATCAATGACGTGTTTGGTTGCTGTACTCTTAACTGCTCGAATGATAGTAAACTTGGTGAAAGCATCGACAATTACTAAAATGTGTTCATTTCGCCTGGAACTTTTTGGAAAGGGTCCCAAATGATCCATGTGGATGGTAGAAAACGGGATTGGATTGATGTCATCGTAATGGTACTGACCTTCTTGACGTCCACCTGGTACCTTATAAATTGCGCATCCAACACATGACTTGAGGTAACTCTTAACGAAGTTGCGCATTCGGGGAAACCAAAACAAATTTTGAATGCGAGCAATAGTTTTGTCTGTGCTCATGTGACCGGCTTTATCATGACATTCATATAGTAATTCGTCAAAAGCTTCTTGTTGCGGTGTTTCCCACGAGAATTTTTGTTCTTTTCGCAATAGCATACGCAATGGTTCAGATGTTATGGCATATCCAGCAACGAATTTACGAAAATAACCGGTAAGACCTAAAAACTTTCTCACATCGGTAACATTTGCGGGTTTCGGAAACATTTTAATGGCGTTTGTCTTAATTTCTCCTGGGCTGATGCCTTCTGCATGAATCTGGTGACCAAGAAATGTTATCGACTGCTTAAATAACTCACACTTATCTTGGTTTAGCGTTAATCCACATTCTTTTAAAACATTGAGGACTCGGTTCAGCTTCTCATACATCTCGTCAAATGTTTGGCTACCAATAAGAATGTCGTCCATGTAGTGTATCATGTCGCCGCGTTTCACTCTCTTCTGCAGTTCTGCCATGAGTCGATTGAACACAGCTGGGGCGTTCTTCAATCCGAAAGGGAGTCGCTTGAATTCGTATAGTCCATCCGTAGTTATAAATGCTGTGTACTTTCGGCTTTGGGGTGCAACTTCAATCTGGTAATATCCGCTATTGAGATCTAGGGAAGAAAAGTATTTAAATCTTTTTGCCTCTTGTAAACGCTCTTCGATATTGGGTACTGGGAAATTTTCCTTCTGAATGAGCTTATTCAGGCGGCGGTAATCGACGCACATACGATCACTACCGTTCGGCTTCTTAATAAGTACTACCGGGCTGGCATATTCGGAATTTGATAAGCAAATAATATCCTTCTCCAACAGCTCGTTGACCATTTTGTTGACAATCTCCTTCTTCGGCTCGGAAACTCTGTACGGGGCTTGAGATACACCTTGACTGCTATTAACGATTATATTGGCTTGAACTATGCTCGTTTTTCCTATTCCTTGCAATCCTGACGAACAGACATCGGCGTACTCCTCCAGCAGATTTCTCATTTTGTCTCGCTCGTTGTTGTTCTGAAAATTAGCCAAAAGTTTTTCGGTTATGCTGTCACTTACAATTGTTGTCGGCTTCGAGACTGTTCGCTTAACTTTGCTGCTGCCATGTTCAACACCTAGAATGAGTTGTGAACTGATAATGACATCCTGTCCTAATAAAAGATCTTCCTGCAACATATTGTCGTCCGTTATATATAATTTTGCCTTGATGATTTTTCCATCGACGTCCATGTCCGTAATGATCATTTCCTTTAGCACACATGATCCTCCGCATATTCCTTTTATTTTCATAGTACACTGGTGACGGTCTCCATCAATTTGATGAGCAACTGACCTGCGAATAATGCTAACTTGACTACCTGTGTCGATGAATGCGTTGTACTTGTGCGAGTGAATCCTGATTTCCTTCGTGAAAAGTTTGTCGTGATTTCCAACTTCCATACGCATAACGTTTGCCATTCGACAAGCTTCTTTTGGGTCGTGAAACTTATTGCATTTACTACACCGCGTCTTTTTATTCTCCTTTGGGCAAATGTTGGCGAAGTGTCCCGCTTCTCCGCAATTGTAGCATCTCTGGGCATCCTTTTGCCTCGTTGGTCTAACATCGCTGTCCTGCTTCTGCTCGTTGCTGCTGGTTTTTGGTACAAACTCTCTTTTACCTACTGTTGTTCGGCCTCTGTTTACAAAAAACGATTCTGCTGCATCTCGAAGTTGCTTCATAGTTGCGAAATTAATAGCTGCAATACTGTTTTGTAGTTCTCGGTGCTGTAGACCTGATCTGGCATATCTGATGATCGCTGCTTCACTAAGCTGGTATCGCACTCCAAGGGCTGACATCCTGAAACAGTATTCCTTGACCGTCTCCTTCTGTCGTCTGGTTGCATTGGCCATCTTAAAATGCACTTCAGCTTCGTCTGGGCTTGCTCCGAATTCTTCTTGGATACTTTCTGCAAAACTATTCCATGTGGTGTGTAAAATTGGTGATGAATCAAGCCACATTTTGGCTGGACCTTTTAGCCGTGTATAAATTGCGAGCAATACGAATTTGTCGTCCCACTTATAAGCGTCAACCACTTTATTGACACGATCGATGAACTGGCTAACCGATATGGCATTTTCGTCACTGGGGTCAAACTCTGGTAAGGTGTTAGCAATCTCTTTGACCGATGCTTGCCTAATATTGTTGGTATCTTGTACCGCAGGGCTGCTCTCGTTCCTGATCTCTTCGATTTCTGCTTCTCTGTTTTGCTGCTGCTGATGCTCCACTTCAACTGTGGCTGCTGCAGATTGCCTCTGAATGCTAATTAACTGAGCCATCATTTCTTTCAACTCCGTCATCTCATTCTGCAATTGTGAAATTGCTGCTGATTGCGTCATCACTTGTTCTTGTTGCTGGCTACTTAGCCCACTCGGTGCTGGCATCTCTATGTCCTCCGACTGCTCAACTTCAATAAGTCTTTGAATTAACTCAGCTCTAGTGCCTGAACTTGATACATTCCTTAATCGTAGCAAGAACTTTAGCTCATCTACTTTAAGCTCTGCAATTTTTGGCATTTTCAAAATTATCACTGTCTTCTTTCAACTATTTCTTGCAATTGACCTCGACCACAACTTGCATGTGCACGCTCGATTTCCAGGTTCACTGAGACTCCTGATGCTGCTTCTCGAAACTTCTTAGAACTCAGGTTCACTAAGATTCCTGATTCCTCTGCTTTGAATCCGTCTGCCGCGTTGAAAAGGAACACATCCGTAATTTCCAATATCCTTTGTCACATAGACCTTTGGGAACACATCCCATTGAAAACTTCCCACGCCGACGATTCTAGTAGCTTCTTCTAGAATTTTCTTAGCACTTCTCTGATCCACGCCTATCCAACCTCAAAAATATCATTATTATTATCCCACTTCTGAACTGTGAAGAGGATGGTTTTTATGCTTTTCCGAGTGGTGCGTTTATTTAATAATAATTGAGGTGGATAAAATAAAATATGTACATTTTGCTTATGCGTCTTTCTGTGCTTGCTTAGCTTCTCGTTCTT